GAACAAAATATGCTTTACTAGCTATTTCCTTTCCAATGCCAACGTCCTGTTTTGGACAAATACTTGAAGTGTGATGATTGGTGAGGCCTGAAGCAAATACCTTTGGTCATATTATTTTGCACAAATACTTGAATATGTGGTGAGACTCAAAGCAAATACCTTAGGGTGTTAAATTGATATTAATATGTAATGCGTATTTTTATAATATCATTTTTATTTTACTTCTTACTATTATACATTTTCATACATTAATGGTCAAACTTTTACATTGATATATATGTGTGTGCTTGATCAAAATGTATCACTTATTCTGTAACGGATGGAACATATGATAATTTGAAGTGGTTAAATAAGTCTATTTTCAGAATAAGCTCGTTAAATCAAACAAGTCATGATAAGAGTTTTTTTTTTATTTTATTTTTTAATTTTATCTAACTCTGCATGCATTATTTTTTAATACAGGGTTACAATAAGGCTTTTGATCTAACTTTACACATTTCTTCTTGACATGAACCTACAACCTCTTGTTTTACAATTTGTAGTACTCCCTCCGTTTTTTTTTTTGTTTTTTTTAATTTTTTTTTATTTGCATCACTTTCCTGTAGACACCCATTTGTGTCTCCCCAAAACCAAACCCAGTGATGAGTACCTTTCGCGTCGAATCATAATCGAATGAAGCGAAAGTGTGGAAAATCTAGTGTTGCGGATAGTTTTAATTTCTTTTCTCTTCTCTCTGTTTTTGAAAACCTATTTTAAGAAAACAGCCAATTCAGTTTGGTTGGTCCATGATATGGGTCCAATAATAGTGTAGTTGGATGGGGCTTGCAAAGACCTTTCCAACGATATATTATAAGCCCAATTCCGATGAATATTGAGGAAGTTATGACCAATTTACTCAAATGGGTCCGTTTTGAGCCTTATATGCGGCCCAATGATCTAGGGGATGACCTAAAATGATTTATCATTCGTAATGCAATTAGGAATGGTTTTAGTCTTCTAGATTCTTCTAGAAAGTTATTTTCATTCCTAATTCAATTAGCATTGATAAATTGACTTTTGTTGACTTTTCAGAGTTTTAATTATAATCAAAAAGCATTTTCGAGGAAAAGATACGACTTTATCCTCCAGTACGGCAAACTTATCTGATTTTCAAAAACAGGTCTGGCGCCTGGAACCAGGCCTGGCGCTAGCCATTGGCGCCTGGCGCCAATAAGCAGGTGCTGGCGCCAGCTCTGTTTTGCGTGCACCAATCTCGTTTTGCGTGCGCCAAATGCTCTGTTTTGATATTTTATCTTTTTGGATGATTTCTCTATAAATACGTATTAAAAACTCCGTTTTAATTCACTAATTCTCATCAACAATCAGTTTTAATTAATATTCAACTACAATCAGTTTTCATTGAATTAATTCTCTCATTCTCTAATTCTCTTCTTTAATCATTCATCTATCTCTCTTTCTCTTTTCTAAACTTGCTTTTTTAATACAAAATTCCGCATTCATTAGACCTAGAAACACCTAGCCATATTCGAAGTTGCCTTCGCCCTAGACGTGAAAGGTTTTAATTTCTGAGGGTTTGGTCCCAAATCTCTATTTCAATTATTTAATTTAATTGTTTGTTTATTATTTTCCTTGAAGTTACTAACGTGTGAATTTTGTTATTAGAAAGAGGTACGAGACATCAAAGTAAGTGCTTTAATTGATTTTTATTGATATTATAATGTAGAAATCATGTTTAAATTGTTATTATGATATTCCTAGTATCATGTCTAGGGTAACTTTGATATTAAATATGATTGTTACGATGCTTCTATGTTCTTCCTAATATTTATGATTGTTAGTATCATGTTAGGGCTAAAGATTTGATTTTTATTGCTTAGTGACATGCTAGGATTTATTATTAATCTTGTTAGTATCGTGCCTAGGATCTTGCTATTATTATGCTTTAATATTAACATGAACACGATTATGATTATAATTATAATTGTTATAATTCATGATGATTATGAATATTATTATTATTATTATTTTGATGATGATTATTTTATTTATGATGATATTATTATTATTGTGGTTATTATGATGATTATTTATTTTGATTATTTATTATGTTGCTTGATTTTTATTGTTATTGCTTGATCACACCTTTTATGCATATTTAAAGGGAATTTATACTTGTAATCACGCTTAATAAGATAATTAATAATCTTGTTTAGGGTTAATGTGATTATAATTTCAAGTAATCGCCAATAATAGTTTATTTGTGCATTAATATTCAACCAACATAGATAAACAAGTTTAGGGTTAATCCTATTAATTGCATGTTAATCAGGAAGCGCACATGAATACGATTAGAATAAAGTAGAGGCCTATTATTAGGGTAGATTCAATCTCTTTTAGGTTGGATTTGTACCTTCATCCCCGAACCCTTATTTGGTTGTAGACCTTATGGAGTTGACGATCTCTTGGATCGTTAAGGGGTGTAACCTTCACCTCGTGAATGGTTTACAAGTTCCTAAAAAAACTTGTTGGCGACTCTTTTGCTCTATCTTCTTCCCTTTTGGACGCCACCGTACTTTAGTATATGATCACAGTGGGGTTCAAGCTAGGGGTTAACGCTTGAATTTATTCCCTACATTTCCTTTTTGGAATGTTTTTTTTAAATGTATCACTTCTATATTTGGTAACTTTATACTCCCTCTGTTTTTAAATACTTGCTCCACTTTCCTTTTTCGGCCATTTTTAAATACTTGCTCCATTCTCTTATTTGGAAAGCTTTTACAATATTTAATTAATTTTATCTCACTTGGTGGACCTAACATATATTCTCTCTCCTCCAATTCTCTTCACTACTTTTGTCTTTTACAATTTTTTATTCTTCCACCAACACCAATACCTCCATATTTTATTACTTTATCCAATTTTTTCTAAAACTCCGCGCATGGAGAAATGGAGCAAATATTTAAAAACGGAGGGAATACTATATTTTATCATTTCTCTGTCTTATTTTAAACCCCACTCAATTTATTTTATTATTTCTCTCTCTTCCATGGTACCCACTAAAATAATGAAAATATGTTTTTTCTCTCACATACTTTTTCTTTGATGGTCCCCATCTTACTTTTACTACGGAGTATAATAATTTATCCACCCGCTCACAATTTTATATTACTCTATTAAACTTTGTGCAATCCAAAGTGATGCAAAAAAAAAAAAAAAAAAAACAGAGGGTGTACTAGAAAGTAGAAATTAGAGATGTCAAAACTTGACTTGACCAACCCGATCCAAAAAAAATATCCGATTTATATTTCGATTCACAGGACATTGTAAATTTGTAATTTTTTTTTTAAATTGTTGTAAATTTGTAATATAGCGTGACTCAAGTTTGAAATTAGACCCGACTTGACCTAACCTCACTTAACTTGACTCAGACATTTGAATTGACACATCAATTAGAATTATCATGCAAGGTAAATTATAATTAGCGCTTTTTCACGAAATATCCCTGAATTATTACGTAATTCATTATATTCCTATCGAAATTTTAAATTTCACCATACATACATTAGTTTAATGAACATGTCACCTAATGTCCTTAACGACTAACTTCGTTAACTTTTTTTTTTTTTTTTAAGTCATTAAGGTATAGCATGGCAACCTCTAATTGGTCTTATTCAAATTGAATTGAACTAGTTTAAATATATTACGGGCCTGTTCTAATAGATTGAAACTAGCTGAACTGAACTGAAATGTACTGAATTGAACTGAACTGAGCTGAGTTGAACTGAACTGAACTGAAAATAAACGTATGAAAACATGTTCTTCTTATTTTACTCTAAATTTCCTTGAAAAATAGTCAATTACGAGTACATAAATGTAAGTAAAATTATTACTCCTTAAATAATTTCATTGGTCAGTCGAAATACGGAGTAATAATTAAAAATAAAGGAAAAAAAACCAAGGATTGCCATTTGGCATTTGCCAAGAATTAGAAACGAACTGAGAGAGCATTGTTAATATCGTAATATAAAATCATCATATCATAATCTATCAAAATTTCTGGTACACATAGCACTGTCAAAAACCGAACCGAACTGGTGAAACCGAACCGTTTCAACCGATCCGAATGAGAACCGAACCGATTAAAAACCGATTTTATGAAACCGAAAACCGACCCGAACCGCATGTTAGTAAAACCGAAACCGAACCGATCCGAGTAAACGTTAAACCGTTTAAGAACCGAACCAAATCTAAACCGAAACCGTTTAAACTGGCATAAAAACCGTTTACACCGAATCGTTAACAAACTGCAACCCGTTTGCACCGAACCGTTTATAAACCGAACTAATTATAAACCAAACCGCTTATAAACCGAACCGTTTATGAACCGAATCGCTTATAATTCGAACCGTTTACAAACCACTTCCTACTAGGAGTATTTTGAACGACTCGATAAAAATCCGATTTTTTAAATAAAAAACAGACCCGAACCGTAATTTAGTAAACCTAAAATAAAACTGATCCAAATAATGTTAAATCGTAGAAGAATCGAACTCGTTAACAAACCAAACCAGTTATAAATCGAACTAAAATAAAACTGAACTAAAAAAAAACCGAACCGTTTCTAACCGGAAGAAAAACCATTAACAAACCGCAACCCGTCTGCATCGAACCGTTTACTACCCGGACCGTTTACAACCCGAACCGAACTTAAACCGGGATAAAAACCGTTTACACCGAACCGTTAACAAGCCCAACCCGTTTGCACCGAACCGTTTACTACCCGAACCGAATTTAAACCGTTCAAGAATAAACCGAAACCGAATCGAACCGATAATTATTTAAACCGAACTGAAACCGACCCGTAAGACATTTGAACCGATTTCAAACCGACCCGATTTCAAACCGAACCGAAACCCAACTGTCAAACCGTTTTGACATTACTAGGTACACATATCCTTTTGCTTATAATTTTATTTTTTATATTACAAAGTTTGTAATAATATAACAACAAAAATAATATAAACAATAAAATTGTCAGATATTTAGGGTTCTCACAAATCACAGGACACTTGGCTCCTCTTGTTCTTTTCTGGGTTTCTTCATTTTCTTCTCTCTCCAATTGCTCTCTCCAGAAAAACATAACCATTTTAATTCCACCCAAAAAAAAAAACATTTTATTTTAATATCGATCAAATTCAAATACCCTCAAAAATTAAAATAAAAGGGTAAAAAAATAAATAAATTTTTTAGAGTGTGATTTTTTCAACTTCCATTATCTTCCGCAGATTGAATCTAGTCACAACCACCCTTTTTCTCTCTCTTCAATGCTCTCATTTATTTCTCAAAAACCCCACAATTTTTAGCTTTCTGGGTATTTCTTTAATTTCGATAATCACAATATAATTTCTCAAAAAAATAAATTTCCACTACTAAGTAAGAGAGAGAAAAAAACAAGAAAAAAGCTTCATTTTTCGTTTTCATGGCGGTGTACACGGTGGGGACACCACTGTGCACGTGGCTGGTGGCGGCGTGCATGTCCGTTGGTTGCGGCGGTGGTGGTGGAAGAGATGTTGGTGCATCTTCTCTCTCCTCAAGAAGTCGCAAGAAAAGAGCAATGGAGTTTAAATGCAATGCTAAGATGTTAAAGGCATTTGAACCTTGTGATGAATACTATAATAATGGTAGTTTTTATAATCTTGGTAATAATAATGGTGATTTTCGTGGGTTTTCTTCGATTTTTGGATCCAATTTTGGGTATATGAATAGAAGGCAAAGGCGGAGTAATCGAGCTCTACATTCAGGTATATCAATGGAGTTTATTGGGAATTTTTTTGATTATTTTTTCAAGTAATTTTAATGGGTTTTATTGGATTTGAGTTTATATTGATATTTCCAATGTGGGTATTTTTATTTTTGATTATTTTATTTGAATGATTTTGATCATATTTGATTATTTATGATTTTGTTGATGATCTTATTTGTTGTGACTTGTTTATGTAATCATAGGATTTTTCATTAGATTCTTGAATAATTGAAGATCAAGTATCTGTGTTTGTTGAGTGTAGGGGCGTTTAATACGAGGCAATATTATAATTGACATCAAGGATGACATGTTTTTGTCCCTTGTAAAAATTAGTGAAGTGTGACTATGTCAAACCTGTTCATGCAATTTGTGTGAGGGAGTTTTGTACTTTTGGATGATGTTGCTGTTATCTGTTAGTATGGAGTGAGAATCTTATTGTGCATGAGATGGGATAAATGTATCTACTCTGCTTCCTTTTTGCCTGGCATTTCGCCGTCTTTTGCCGAATTTGAGGATGGTTGGTAGGATCAGTTGATTCTTGCTAGGTTTCGGAGGGACGATGTTAGCAAGTGTGAAGGCTCATTTAAGTCATTCAACTTTGGTTATAGTTTCTCAGACGTGACTACCTAGGGTGGAGATTGTTCTATGAAAGTTGCATAGTTTATGATATACGTTTAGGATTGGTAAGCTGGCCTAGTTGCTTGGCCTTGGATTTAATTTATTCGTCTTTCATGAGTGTTAATCCTTGAGGATGTCATTTGATGTGGGTATGTTTATTTGATATTATAGGGATTTTTTTCCCTTGAATTCTTCAATTGTTTTGCAAGAATTGGCTTTGGAGCATGATATTGATGCACATTTATCTAGTAGGGGATGAATTAATTACAGAATAGAAGTATAGAAATATTTGTCTGACTAAATGCACAGCCCCTATAGAGAATTGCATCTAGCTGATCCTCACTACATCTCGGCACCCTCCCTAGAGTCCCTACCCCTCAAATATCTACCCGTCCACCCACGCCCAATAGTTTGAGCCTTGTCAAGTGAGTTTATGTGTGGTTTAAATTTATGGTTCTTTCACTTGAGCCTGGTTGTTTTATACTATTGGAAATCAAGCTGAGTTGAGTAGCTTCTTTGAGCCTGAGAAGAGGGGTAAAACAGAAATGTGAGTGAGTGAAGCAAAATAGTAATGCTGTCGATTGTAGGGTTTCACAGTCTAGCATACTTAAAACCATCATAAGTATGACCAATAAATGACCCCTTGCAATACTCCTAAATTACAGACTGATCTGTTATTATTCAGTTGCATGTTTTTGCCTTTTAGGGCTTTACATCCCACATTTCTAAATATATGATGTGCTTTAAACGTGAAAATCTTTAAAATTGACTGAAGTATATAAATAAATCATATATGCATGCTTTCACATGTGGAAATAGGTACGTAGTATATAATAATTACCATATATTTTTAGCGTAATTATTGGTCAAAGTTCAATTTTAAAAGCAATAAGATTTTATTTTTGAAGCGTAGAAAGAATAGCTGTCATCCTAAGTTTTAATACCCTGAGTAGTCTGAGCTGATTGCATATGAACTTGAGCTGAGTGCTAGTGAACTTGAGCTGTGGCTTAGTGAGGCCTGCAATTCAAATAAATACTAGCTTGAGCCCTTGGTTCTGGAGCTACTAATAGTATTGTTTAGTCACAATAGTATCTATGCTATGATGAAGGAGTGTGCAGATATAATTGTAGAACAACACTAAAAAGACCTTTCGTTACCAGGAGATGCGTTTCTATATTGAGAGGGGTGATTGGGCTTATGGGCCTTGTTTTTTAAAATCTACTTTATAGGATGTGATTGGGTTGTTTATCTTTTTTGGGTTTTGAAGGCTTCCCAATATACAATAGTTATATATTCTGTGGTGGTATCTGACTGAATGATCGTGTAACTTTGCTAAGTTTCTATAGCTGTTTGATCTTCCTGCTATGTGGCTCAATATTATGAAAAAGGAGCAAAATTCTTATTACTTGTCTATTAATAGTCTTTTTCTGTGTTTCAGGAAGAGCCATGGCTGTGGCAGTTGAGCCTTCAATGGAAGTTACATCTAATAAGAAGCCTGTTACAAAACAGAGGCGAGTAGTTGTGACAGGGATGGGAGTGGTTTCCCCGTTAGGACATGAAATAGATGTCTTCTACAATAACTTGCTCGAGGGTGTCAGCGGCATAAGTGAGATAGAGACTTTTGATTGTGCCAGTTTTCCTACAGTATGTCTATTGCCTTCCTTCGCATCGCACGTGTTGAATTCTTCTGCTGAAAACTTGTATTTACAATTTATTTTACTTTATTTTATTTATTTATTTAGTTATTTTGTTTGTAGAGAATTGCTGGAGAAATCAAGTCTTTTTCTACTGAAGGTTGGGTTGCACCTAAGCTTTCGAAGAGAATGGACAAGTTCATGCTGTATATGCTTACTGCTGGAAAGAAAGCCTTGGTGGATGCTGGACTTACAGAGGAAATTATGAATGATATAAACAAAACAAAATGTGGTGTTCTGATTGGTTCTGCAATGGGTGGCATGAAGGTACAATATTTTGTTTAAGCATGTAATCATTCACCATGAGAGTGATTAATATTGGGCCCAGGGCCGCCCAAAAACTTGTTCTAAACCTACAATGTCTTGAGCCACTGTTGAGGGCTTGAGGCGTGTGGTTAACCTCTAAGTCTGTCACTGCTCCTTAACGAGGTTAATGCTGCTGTCTAAAGCTGGAAGCTAGTTTTACTTTAATGTTTATTAGGGAATGTAAGAAAATATTCAGTTAAGTTGAGCTTGTGTCACCATGATATTTACATGAGGGCTATATTCACATTACCTACCTAATGTCCTAATGCGATAGAGATTGTTTCTAATGCTGTCATGCCACTGTTGCTTAATACTTCCTTGACATTGGTCTGTGTTTGAACTTGAGCAGGTTTTTAATGATGCAATAGAAGCTCTCCGTATTTCATACAAGAAGATGAATCCGTTTTGTGTGCCATTTGCAACAACAAATATGGGATCTGCCATGTTGGCAATGGACTTGGTCAGTTGTTCTTTACAGCTATTGAAAAAACTTGTTCTGACTCTGTAATGTTCTCTTGATGATTGCTGATTGTTATTTTAAACCACAGGGGTGGATGGGCCCAAATTATTCAATCTCTACTGCTTGTGCAACTAGCAACTTTTGTATACTTAGTGCAGCAAACCATATTATTAGAGGGGAAGCTGTAAGTATTCCTGTATACTGACTTTTTGGAATCTAGTTTCTGTTTATTTTCATATATTCATATTGAACTTTTCCTGATAATTTATTGAGAGAATGTAGGATTTGATGCTCTGTGGTGGCTCAGATGCAGCAATAATACCAATTGGTATGTGTGTGTTGACCTTTATGATCTTTCATTAGTTTTTTCTGATTTATTTTGTATACTTACCTATCTATATAATTTTAAATTTTCCAATAGGCTTGGGAGGATTTGTAGCTTGCAAAGCACTTTCACAGAGGAACAATGATCCTACCAAAGCATCGCGCCCTTGGGATATGGTATGATCTTTTTCTTTTGTCCTTGGCTGATCATGTGTAATTGGATCATATTGTTCTTGCTGAATAAACTTGCAACCTTGGAATTTGTGGCCTGTAACTGTTAATTTTTTTCTTCTTCTTCATGTGTGCAAGACCCAGTCTGAAAGATAAATTCTGGCATATTAGTGCATACAGAAGGATGTTTAACTTTACCTTAATTGGATTTTGTGTCTTCAGAATCGTGATGGGTTTGTTATGGGGGAAGGCGCTGGTGTTTTGCTTCTGGAAGAATTAGAACATGCTCTGGTATAGTAGCTCTTGACAATTGCTTGATGAATTTTAATCACTCGGGATTAGTTGTTTTTGCATGCTGACAGGATTGCATTCTTATTTTGCAGGCAAGAGGTGCTGAAATCTATGCCGAATTTTTGGGTGGTAGTTTCACTTGTGATGCCTATCATGTGACTGAGCCTCACCCAGAAGGTAACTTATGCAAGGGTTTAGGGTGTGGTTTTTTTTATTTACAATGGACCAAAAGTACCAATCAAACACACTATGTTCTGTTTTCATCTGTAATTGTCTTCTTTTATCATCACTCTTCAGTACTTGGATTTCTTGGGTGCTTGACTATGTGTCACGGTCCGGGAGTTTGGACCCCGAAACGTGCGGCGCGCTCTAGCCTTTTGGTGGCAAGAACGCTAGCCATGAGCGGAAGAGGGGCTTGTGAGCACAAAGCAACACAAGCGAGTAATAGAATCTCAGGAGCACTCACGTCTATCTGGGCGACGGAGTGCGGGTGGTCGGGGCTTGTGACGGCCGGTACTTCAAAGCGGGCACAAGCGGGTCCGAACCACGAGTCCTTAGCGCATCAAGTTGGGTTGGAGGGGAGCTAATATGCAAGTAAGACACAATATCTATAAAGGTCTAACAACAAACAAGCATAAAAGCAAGGCAACACTTGGTAGAAGGCTTTAAGATTTCATTAATCATTCGCCCTCTAAAGAGCTTTAAATGACATACAAGGAGAATCCCTAGTGAACACTGATCTGACAGTAACACAATAATGGGACCTCAAGCTAAGAAAACATAACCTAAACTCTAGGAAAGCACTTAAATGGAATCTAATACATCAAAAGGAGTTGGATTCTAACATCCTCCCTCACTTAAGCTGTCGACGACCTCGTCGACTTACAAAAGTTACAATCAAAATTAGAAAACCCTAAACTATCTCAAGTTTCGGATGCGCCGTTGGTGCGGCTATCTTCTGGAATCTTATCTGACTCTTGAGCTGGATCTTCTTTGTTGACGAGGAGCTTGTCTCTGGAGTCGCTCGGCTCGAACATCTTGTTGAGAGCTTCATCTCTAAATTTCCTCCTGGGAGTGGAATCTGTTGAATTAAGGGGGACAGCTGCTTCCACCATCATCTGTTGGGGAGCTGCTTCCTTGAGACTGTGGTGGAGAGCTTCAAGTTGTGGTTGGTGCCTCTTGGGTGACCATTTTCTTTGTAATTCCTTGCACGCGCCCTGCGTTGTTTGCTCAACCACTGTTTTTCCTCCCTCTTGGGAGGTTCTTCTTTGGTGTCTCTTTGGTGTCTCTGGGCTCGTCGCTCTTTGCTTCGAACCTTGTGACTGATTCTGGTTTTGGCGGGTGTGTATCTGGGATGTTGCCAACTCCATGGGCTTCATCTCCCGCTTCTCTGGGTTTCTGGTGCGAGCTTGTTTCTTCGATGTTGCCTTCTTCTCAGGCTCCATCACTCGCATTGCCGAAAGATATCGGACTTCTGGTTCTTCTTGAGGTGCTATCATTCTCATAGCACTCAGGCGTCGTATGGAACCCATCCTATATGTGGGCTCCTCATCGCTGCTAGTCTCTTTTGTGGCTTCCTGAACGGACATGGATGACAATCTCTTTTGGATCTTGTCAAGTTCTTCTTTATGCTCGCAATCCCACCATTTGTGTGGACCTCGACAAAATATGCAGTTTATTTCCCTTGTGTTTTCCGAGGATGCGCCGGCCCTCGAGTTTCCTGAGTTGTGGGAGGGGGTAGATGTTTGTCTCTAGGCATCACCTCCTCCACTTCTTCTATGATATGTATTAATGGTGTTGGACGATACTCGTGAGCCGTTCTCTGTACCCTTTGGAGAGCTTGGAGACGGACTGTTAGAGCGTGTTGACGTCCCACTTGAATCCTTCTCGGATTGACGACCCTTCCCGACTGAGTAGTCCATCAATCTCTCAGCAGCACACATAGCAGCAGCGAGGGTATCAATATTCTGCCTCAAAATCTCTCGCTGCGCCCATTCCTTTAACCCGTTGACAAAGTTGAACACACGATCTTTCTCATTCATGTCTGTGATGTTCAACATTATCGCCGAGTATTCCTTAACATAGTTGCGAAGAGAACCCTTCTGGCGGCACTCTTGCAACTTCATCCGAGCAACAAACGTTGTGTTGACGGGGTAGAATTGTTCTTTGAGTTCCTCTTTGAACTCCGCCCATGTATCAATCTTGATCCTTCCTGCTTCGATGTCTGCGTGCTTGGTGCGCCACCACAGCTTAGCATCTTCGGACAAGTACATGATGACAGTATCCACCTTCTGATCGTCACTTAGTTGACATATTCGGAAGTACTGCTCCATGTCGAAGAGGAAGTTATCAACTTCTTTCGCATCTCTAGCGCCACTGTAGTCGCGAGGTTTGGGCGGCTTTATCTTCGCCGCACCAACACCCAGTGCGTCTCTGCCCACAGCGCGCGTTAAGGTAGCACATTTCTCAAGTGCTTCGTCGGCTTTTCTTTGAACAAATTGCAATTGTTCGCGGAGGGCATCTCTGTCAGCCATCAATTTCACAATTTGCTCGGCTTGCTCGTGTACAATGACTTGGAGCTCGGCCCATTTGTCCGCCTTCTCCTCGAGCCAAGCGAGCCTTTCTTCTACGAATTCCATCTTCGTGTAGCCCTCCTTGGTGCCTACACGGGTTGCTTGCGACGAGGTTTGAGCCTCGGCTCTGATACCAACTGTCACGGTCCGGGAGTTTGGACCCCGAAACGTGCGGCGCGCTCTAGCCTTTTGGCGGCAAGAATGCTAGCCTTGAGCGGAAGAGGGGCTTGTGAGCACAAAGCAACACAAGCAAGCAATAGAATCTCAGGAGCACTAACGTCTATCTGGGCGACGGAGTGCGGGTGGTCGGGGCTTGTGACGGCCGGTACTTCAAAGCGGGCACAAGCGGGTCCGAACCACGAGTCCTTAGCGCATCAAGTTGGGTTGGAGGGGAGCTAATATGCAAGTAAGACACAATATCTATAAAGGTCTAACAACAAACAAGCATAAAAGCAAGGCAACACTTGGTAGAAGGCTTTAAGATTTCATTAATCATTCGCCCTCTAAAGAGCTTTAAATGACATACAAGGAGAATCCCTAGTGAACACTGATCTGACAGTAACACAATAATGGGACCTCAAGCTAAGAAAACATTACCTAAACTCTAGGAAAGCACTTAAATGGAATCTAATACATCAAAAGGAATTGGATTCTAACACTATGCCACCTCATCCACTTTTGCCTGTCGTTGATTTCATTTGGAAATTGTAAAGCAGAGGCTCCTTTTAAGAGGAGAGGTTTTATGTGAATGCTAACTTTTTGTAGGATAAGTAAGACTTCATTATAAATTGCATCAGTATTTGGTTGCTTTTTCATACCAATGATTATCACGATCATACACCTTCCTTCATTGTTAGGCGGGTAAACATTTTAAGATGACAATTTTCATGTTGTGTCAGGATCCAGGAGTTTTGGGTTTGCCCCTTTCCACTGCAGAGTTTTTGCTTGTGTGATTTATGGGGGTTTGTGTGAGCCAATTAGCCATTTTGGTATAAATAAATTTACCCTTTTGCCAGTTTGACAAGAAAAAAGGTGACATTTTGGTATTAAAAAAGAATGAAAAAATTGCTGATGTTTTGGCCTATTTCTCGCTGGGCTTTATTTTATTGAGAGAGGTTAATTTATTTTAATCTTATTTCTGCGACTATTTTTATTTTATCTCACAACTACAATTGAGTAATTTATTTATTACTCCCCCCGTTCCCAAATGATGGTTACTTGTGATTTTACGTGGCTGTTAAATAAAAGAAGATAATGTAAAGCAATGATTAGATGTCACACATATAAAGTATTAAGGCATTAAATTAACGTTGGATAATAGGAATATTTTCTTTGGGAGTAGGTAAGTAAGAGTAGTTACTTTGGGAGTAGGTAAATATCTTGGTGAATTGGAATAGTTGCTTTGGAAGTATGTATATATATATGAGGGAAAATGTGTAAAAGAATCTATATTGGAAATAGAAAGAGTTGGAATGTATCTAACGAAGGGGAACACCAGATGGCAAATGTAACCATTATTTAGAATGGAAGGAGTAGTTAGCTATTGGTAGGTGTTTAAGTTTTGTCTCATCTTCCACTCTGGTATACTGAGGTATAGATAGTTTTAGAATCTAAATCTAAATTGGAGGAAACATACCTTGATTAATTTTTTTTTCAGTGGTTTGATTTCCTGTTGAAGCTTTCAAAGAAGTAACATTATAGTTAATTGCTTGAAATGGGTTATTTTTAACATAAAAGCTTTTAACGATTTTAACAGGAAATCAACCCACACACCCACACACACACACACACAAAAGTTAATGTAAAATTGTTTGAAATGGAGGTAAGAGGTAAGAATGTTTAATAGAAATTAAGAAAAGTTGCAGAAATAATGTAAAAAAAAAATAAGTACACATCACTTGACTGAAAAAGTGGTAATAAAAAAAAAAAAAAAAGAAGAAAGGCAAATAAATTCTTATCTAGCTTTTTATGGGCTACAGTGCTTGGAGCTTTTACAGTTTTAGGTGCTACATTATTTGGAGATTCAAAGGGACTGGGTTTCTTTGTAAATTTTGTTACTTTGACCTTCAAGGACATCAAGTGCTTTGTTTACTACTCTTAAACTTCATGTCCTGTTTATACTCTCTTTCCTATCAAACCAAAAATAAATAAATAAATAAATAACCATAAATAAGTGTAAATGGTGGCTCCATAATTTGTACGAGGGACTTGATATCCTTAATTATGCTGCATTATGGTTTCCGCAAACATCCTCATTTGAAAAAGTAGTTATTTAAAAAGCTGATATGTCTTGCCTGCTCACTTGCTCTATTAGTTATGAGGACACAAACTTTGTATGACTTCTGCCTGTTCATGGTGCTTTATGTTGCTTTTGATGGTCCCCTACTTTCTCCTGCATCTTCAATGTATTTTTTTAGCTGGAGATTGATAGTTGATGTGTTTTTTTTACCCTATTTTTATTATATATATATATATATATATTTTTTTTTTTTTTTTCTGTACAAAGGGGTTGGAGTTACGCTCTGCATTAAGAAAGCCTTAGCTGAAGCTGGTCTTGCCAAGGAAGATATCAATTATATAAATGCACATGCTACATCAACTCCGAATGGTGATCTTAAGGAATACCAAGCCTTGGTTCGCTGTTTTGGTGATAATCCTGAGGTAAATTAATTTTTTATATCCTCTTTTGCAGTGATTAATTATTTATTAAGCTTTAATAAGCTTTTTTTTTTTTTTTTTCCCCATACACAGGTGAGAATAAACTCTTCAAAGTCCATGACTGGCCACCTACTTGGAGCAGCTGGTGGTATTGAAGCTGTTGCAACTGTACAGGTATTGTTGGACTAGTAATCCCATGATATCAAATTAGCAACATGGCTTGTTCTTGACCTTCAGTGTTAAAAAAAAAGTCCCCCTCCCCCCCCCACCCTCCCCTCGCACGGGGAGAGAAACCTGACTCTATTTGATTGGGTTTTGGCTAATAATGCAACTTAATTGGAGTTATAAAACGATGGGCATTGTTTTTTCCGCTTGATATTTGTCAGCTAAAACGAAGACAATCACTTGATTCTTTTTTGGTTGACATAACGGAGTTAAAATTTTCTAAGAATTGGAAGATTGTGGTTTTGTTTGGCTGGCTAATACATGAGAAGTTACTTATCCTAGGAAGTCCCACTTTCCACAAAATGGAGGAAGTTGCTTTCCTAAATCCTCGTAGATAAGTGGAACTGAGAAGTTCTACTTCTCATGTGGTGGCCATGTTTATCCAAAAAACATTTCTTACTTCCTAGGAAAACCTTCTTCCTTGGATATTTTACCTCTTATATCAAACCAGACGGCCATTTGATAGAAAGGAAAAATGTTCTTTGGTTGAATACGGGAAATAGATTTTCCCATAGAAAGTTTGACTTCAATTTTTGTGGGAAGTGAAACTACATAAGTTTGACTTCCCATGTTTTATCAACCAAACAAGCACCCTTTTTATTTATTTATTTATTTATTTTTATGGGCTATTAGCATCATCTGTATTTTGTCTGGTCTTCTAACAGAAAATAGTTTACCAGTATCCACGTTATAGTTTCTCAAAGTAGAAAAATATATTTTAGATTTGTTTTCCTGGGTTGTATTGATGAAGAGTGTCACTGTTTTTCTAGAGGTGCTTTGTAGTAATTACAAACAAATGATTTTCGAAACTCGATTGCTTGGTCATATTAATTCATACCTTCATGTTCCTCTTTTACAATCATTTAACACATATCTCCTTATCTTTTGGTCACCCAACCAAGTGATTGGAAAAAAGTCTTCCATTTGAACCTATCTGGCTAAGTGCTTTTTAACTAATGCATATGTGTGCTGTAACAGGCAATACGGACAGGATGGCTACATCCAAATGTCAACCTTGAAAATCCAGATGAAGGCGTGGTATTTTTTTTATTATTTTTTTAATAGCTGCTATATCTTTGAAATTCAGTGACTTGTATTTTGTCTTATAAGCTGTTGCCTGCATTTTTCTTTAAATTCTGCATTTTTTTTAATCACCAAGCTAAAAAAACGAGTTGTGCTAGAATGTGATGGCTGTGAAGTATGAATAATGATTTGTCTGTCATAAATACTTATTTATCTTCATTGTTGCTTTAATGATCTCTTGTGCCAATCCAACTGCACTTGACTGCTTGAGCATACTCAGACTGAATTTATCTGTTCTGCCATTAATGTTGTTTTTTTAGACTTAATGAGTATTAGTTGGTATGAGGTGTAAATTTGTTACTATGCTTTGTACCATTGTATCATCTAACTTGAAGGTGCTCGAACCAGGACACTAAGTTGCTCGTTGGTCCAGAGAAAGAAAGAATGGACATCAAAGCAGCTTTGTCCAATTCGTTTGGGTTTGGTGGACAGAATTCTTCAATCGTATTTGCTCCTTACAAGTAGATCATTTTTGCTACCGTAGCCACACTTAATAATGGTGCTGATTATATCAGGTTTGCTGCTTCTCTAAGTGCATTATAACTGTATATAGAACCGTAGGTTTTTTGGGTTAGAAACTTCTGTCTAAAAATGTGGAGAGATAGACATGTGAATCTTGTTTGGTTTGCAACTGAAAACTTTGGAAACATGTGAATTGGATGGCATTAGTTCTTCTAAATTAATTGCTGTTTATAGGATGTACATGAGAACTTTATGTTATTCCATATACTGTCATAAAATCGATGTGGAATCTTAATTAACTTAATGAAACATACTGTCGTAAAATCGATGTGGAATCTTTATTAACTTAATGCAGTTAAACAAATCATGTTGTTATTATTCACAAATGTATTTGATGAGTGATGTGTTGCATTTTTACTACTCCCTCCGTGTTTTTTTTAAGTGATACATATTGACCGGCACATAGTTTTAGGCAATTTAATTGACTTAAATAAAATAAGAGGTAAGTGGGGTAGTGGAGTATTAAAAAATTGTTAAAGAAAGATAGTGGGGTTAATAGTTTATTGAAAAGTAATGAATGTGAGAGGAAAGATATAATAAAAAAGTAGTGGGTTTGGGTGGGGGCCATGAGAGGAGAGAGATATAATATTTTAATGTATTGTTTTGCCAAAAAAGGAAATGTATCACTTAAAAAAACACGGCCGGAAATGGAAAATGTATCACTTAAAAAAACACGGAGGGAGTAATATTGCATTCATGCTGGAAAATATTTATTTTCATTCTGTTGGAAATGCACTTAGTTTACAATCCTGAAAGAGATTCAAGAGGTTTCCAATTGTACGTGAAAACATATAATATCTGACAATCATGTTCATGCTTCTCTACAGGGGTGCGAATTGATGGTTTGTTACAACTTGATAAAAAAAAAAGTGCAGATTGCTAATATCTAACCTTGCATTCCTAGAAGGCATATAGATGGCAGAAGTGCGTAAGGTGATGCTTTTACATAAAGGCATGCTCAATATGAGGGAAAGTTAAATGCAGCCTGCTGGCGACAAGAGGACTTGCTTCTGGAGCAGATTTATTGTCACTCTCACTATACTTGGCACTTTATACCGCTCCACAAGATATGAATATCCGCTACTTAAAACTGCTGTTGGTTTGTTGGTGTACAAGTGTAATTGAATGGGTTTTGATATTCATAGCGAGTTTTAGAATAGAATTTTACATTCCAGTTAGTTACTGATGAATGTTGAGACTTTTCTGTCTTTGATGCTCAACACTCATGTGCGCTCTCTCAATCATTACTTGACGGGAAGGTGTTGGAGAGGTGCTGCACTTATTTGATGCATCTGCTGTTGGGTAGATTTAGATTCAATAGTGGTGTCAAATAGTGTAATTTTTTTTTTCTCATCTGAATTGATAACTGAAACAAAGGTGTATGCCATTTATTGATGCTATATCTACAACTCCTACAAGCAAGTTAAACATTGATACACTATTTGTTGATACTTGTAATTTGAGTTGTTAAGCCACATTGAACGCTCCTGCTACCATGAACTACAAAGTGAGGTTTCAATCATTCCCTTCACCTGATTTTCTGTATCAAAAGTTTTTAAAGTGAATTCTAGCTGTTCGTATTTATAATAGCAGTGATCAGACCAACATCTAATCTTCGTTTGCAAATAATAAAACAGAATTTTTTTTTTTTAAAAAAAAAATAATAATAACACCTTAACCTACAAACTACAAAAAAATAAAGTTCATTATTTTTTTTTTTTAATTTTTTTTTTTATTTATAGATTTTTTTTTTTTTTTTTTTTTTTTGAAACCAGAAGTTCAAATTTTTTTTGTTCATCTGATTTCTAAATCAAGATCAAAGCTGATAATTTCAATATAAATATTTGAGATTCAAAGTAATGTGAGAAATAATCTAAGCTAGAAGCTTGACATTATTTTGTATGAGATGGTATCACATTATTTTGCTGTCAAGGTTGGTTCTGTTTTGTGGGTTTGCTGCTTTGTGAGATTGGAGCCGTTTCTTATTAGTAGCTTAGTCTTTCGGGTTGGGAGTTTAGGCTGCATTTAAAGTTTGGAGTTTATTGTACGTTTTGAATCCGTCTATATCTAAAGTTAGGATTATATTGTGCTCTTTGTCTAATTAATTCTTGATTAGGCATGATTGAGATGGTATGCAGTTCTGCACTTATGCACCTTGCTTTTTCTAATTTGTCTAAAAAAATCAAATTGCTTAGCATGTACGTTTCAAGTATATTGCATTCTAAAGGAGTACCATGAAATTTGAACTTAGTGAAGAAATCGAAAGTTTCATATTGTATTTCACTATTTTGATAAGGCACTTTAAAAAGGTAATGACGTAATGTCACTTAACGGATTACATGCTTTACAGCTGAATTGAGTAGTAACTTGGTCTTGGATCACAAAATACAGTAGCACAATCAGTGCAGTGCATTTGTGCTCCCATGAAAACATAAAACTTTGCCCGCGATGTCAATAATTAATTAATTATACTGCAAAAACTAAAAACAATAAACTAAAATTGAGGGAAAAATTCATTCATTAATTAATTTATGATGCATCATTACAAAAAAAATTATGAATTTACATGACGTCAAAATTAGACTGCACTTCATTGAAGACTCGTAACATGTGTAAAGGGAGAAAAATAAAATAAAATTAGTTTTTTTCGATATTCCTATTTTTTCTATATATAACACGAAAAATTATCAAAATTCACCAACAGAATATTGAGCATTCTACGCTATCTTTCATTTCTTATGAGCCTTTTTTACCTTGCTCTTCATGGAAAGTGCACTTGCAACACTCTTCCCTTCGAGCTTTTTCGTCAACTTAACAACACTATGCATACCCCTTCTAGCAGCAGCCCGTTGCTCAGGTCTACGGCTGAGCATCTTACGGTCTAGTGGCCAGTATGCATACGGCTCAAATTTGCCCTTCTTTTTCACATCTCCACGAGCCTTCTTACTAGCATACTCATTTCCAGTATAGGCCCATCCTGACTCAGATATTTTTCTGCGCTTCTGGTTAGCCTTTTTTGATTTAGAAGAAACATAACTTCGAATATCAGTTTTATCTTCATCATACTCAGGCTCATCTTCTGAATCGAGCTTCCTTTTCAGATTTCTACCAGAACGAAGAGCTAGCCTTGTTTTACGCTGGTCCAAAAGATCAAGTGGTTCATCTTCTAGGTCAAGTGAGTCTTCTAATAAGCTCCTTCCAGACCTCGTTTTCCTTAACCTAAGGAGAAATTTATTAAATTAAGGTACAACGGTTCATAAAAAGAATCTCTCTTAAGTTACGAATTATTTAAATACTTTACAGATCCTTCATTTTATTGGACCTGAATAAATCAAGAGAAACCCCAGTCCTCCATCCTCAGAGGTGGAAAACAGGTTGCAGTCATGTACACATGTCTGGCTATATTCGAGTCTATTGAATATTAGGTATTATAGAATAAATCGATTTTGGCTGAGTCTTTCCAAGTCTGGCTATATTCGAGTCTATGGAATACTTCTATTAGGTATTATAGAACAAATCAATTTTTGGCTGGGTCATTCTAAGTCAGGTAATTAGGGTATTGTTGTTTGTCAGGTCAGTGGACCCAAATGAAAGAGAAACCAATTCAGTGCAGGCCAATAGAAAAAGTAAACAGTGCATACTTCAGTACCTCAAACATAAAAGATGAATAGACTAATAAAATGCAAGATACCTTGATGAAGGCGCTTTTGATTTTAACTTGGAAGATAATCTGCTCCGTCGACCAACAGATGTCCCAGCATCCATATCATCCGCAGTCACACTCGTTAATCACAAGACAAGTTGGTATAGACCAACAGCGTCAAATAAAAAGTTGAGCAATCATTACAATTTCTATTAAAGGAAAGAATGGTTAAGTTGTCAACTATAACCATCATGCAATAACATCTACTCTACACTCGTATCACTCTAGCTAGTATTCATGTTAGACATGGATATGTCTCGGTATCAAATTCAGCCATTTATAATTTCCATACGTTTGGCCCAAAATGAAGTATGAATTACTGAATTGTCCATGCACAATAACATCTGCTATTATTTGTTATTCAAGTAAGATCTCGTGTTACTGTGTTAGACATGAGTATCTGTCAAAGTAAAATATTCAGCCATTTTCAAATTTCCATGTTTTTGGTGAAAGTCTTTAGGATGTGAGGTGAAATGAAGCATTTCCCACATAAATTTTAATAATTTGCTTCGAGCTAGAGTTATGTTACACATGCAATTTACAGAGAAGGATAAAAATATAGCAATTGAAAATTCCCAAATGTTGACAAGACATGTCATTGTAAATTTCAACCCGTAAGCATGCTAGCAATATGAAGAAAACAAAGGTGGAAAAACTTAAACCTGGAAGTAGTTGCTTTTGACAGGTAGGAACTTGTCTCAGAATTGGCTGTCAACTTCCTTTCTTTCCGCTCTTTTATCTGGAGAGAACCAACAAGTAAGCAAGCACAAACAAAAGAACTAACATCAGATAATACAAAGCAACTAAAAGAAAAGATTAAAAATTATATTCAACTTCGCACCTTGCGGATATTAGTAAGAAGTTTCATATGATCTTCTGGCACTACAGCCTTAATAGCATCAAGGCCACATTTCTTGACAAGCATCTCCAACAAGTGTTTAACCTAGCAATAGATGTGAAACCAAACTTATGAAGAGATGTTGATACAAGCTACTACAGTAATTCCTTTGATTTTGCAAGATCAATGACAATACAATTCTCATTCGAAATATAAATGCTTTAGAAATAAGAAAATCCATTGAAACAGAAAAAATGAAGAAATACAGTACATGGCCTGAAAGCCTAGCTAGATCCTCACTCCTAAAGGGACCCAAGGGGCCAAGGGTACAGTTCTTAGATACACAATTTCAGCAAGGGTGAAGGGGAGGGCAGGTGGCATATTTTGGTAGCTTACGTGTACATATGAAGATGAAACTAGAGGAAAAGAGCTGGAAAGGATCCTAACAGCACTATCTATCATAAATTCGAATGTACAGATCCAATATTTGACCCAATTACACTACCAATTTAACACAGCCAGGGTTAGGATAAAGAAGGATAAGTTCAGTGTCTTTTCTGGTGAAACCCAAGGACATATACCAAAAATGAAAGTAAAAGAAAAAAGAAAACAGAGTAATAGTGCCAAGAACACGAGCACATGACCCACATGCGCTAAAAAAGGGTAAAAGGAAATAAAAGTCTCATAACAGTAGGCCACAAACCTTAGCTTTGAAATGCTTCATGGAATCATCCCGACGTACTAAAATACCATCAACCATGCCTTTCAAGAAAATTTGCAGAATCTCAGATGGTGATTTTGCAACCAAAACCTTAAGTAGACCCAAATTAGCCTGAAACAACACCATCATTCAAAATAAATATCCCTACGAATAAATTTTATTTTAGTTTGTAATTTAAAAAAAAAAAAAAAACACCAATGGTCAGTTAAACAGGACATACTTTAATGATCTCTTTGTCCTCCCTCTCAAGAAGTAGAAGTGAGGAGGAAAACAGATCGCATGCACTAGAAAGACAATCGGAAAATTCATAAGCCAAGCGAGCCAACCCTTTCACAGTCGCACTGATCATATGCGAACAATCGCTGGCAAGGCCTACAGCTACCTGTTCAAATGAAAGAGCCCTAAAATCATTTCCAAGTTAAATAGGATAACAAGTCTATTTTTTAGTCAGATACATGTCACAAAGTGTTCTTTTTTTATGAAAAAATGTAACTTTCATTTACCACACAACTCTCCCTTTTTCACGATGTAGGGAGTATGAGATACTAACTACTCAATTTTTTTTTCTACTTTTGCTGCATGGTTATTATCTTAATTTCATTTATTTATTTATTTTTGTAATTTGTTTCAAAGTTAAATCATGATTTTTTTATTTTTTATTTTTTTTTTTGTTTAAAAAAGATAAAAAATAAAAAAAAGAATCAAGCCAAGCCCCGTCGGTTCCACGACCGGTTCAATATATTTAACCAGATTAGACCGTTTCCGAGACTGGTACAAAATTTTTGGACCCGATCCTGACTGGTTACCCCAAGTAAATACTTCCATAGAGCAGATCATAAGATGAAACTAGCCATATGATGAGTATAAAACAAAACAAACAAAATGAGGTACTCCAAAAAATGATAAAAGTAGCAGCGAAACTACATACGCTCTCAAAGAGTTGGAGTAAGTTCTTCTTTTTCCCTCCCTGCTCCTTTTTCCCTCCCTTCTCCTCATCACAAGCATGACCAATTTGGACTAGAATATCATAAGCCCGATTTCTGGTTTTCTTATTAACCTGCAAATAATTTAAAAATTGGCATTCAAGTGATTCAACCTATGAATTCTACTTAAGAAAATGACGGTACAAAAGTGAAAAGATACTAGCAAGATATGCCATCAGGAAAAAGTAAAAATTATACTCCCCCTGTATTTTTTTAAGTGAAGTGTTTTTCATGTGCACGCATGCCAATGAAAAAATTTAATTAAAAATATCTGTAATAATCAATAATTATATGTCAAGAAGGGACATATATGTTTCATTATTTTGTCTTGAAGGACCTTATATGTTTAAAGTGGTCTAAAAAGACCTTATAAGTTAATTTTGTTGTTTGGGGGACCTTCAGGTCGGAATCCGGGAATAATTTACTTTTCTCCAATGTTGACCTCTTTTGTAACCTTAAAAAATGACTCATTTTCTTAGTTTCCATGATTTCCCTCAAATTTTCTTATTTTGATTTGTGCCATTTGGGGATTAGAAGAGAGAGAAGGAGGAATCGGAGGGAAATCGTGGAAAAAAAAAAAACGGGGTCATTTTTTAAGGTCACGTGAAAGGTCAACGTCGAAGAAAAAAGTCAATTATTGCCGGATTCCGACCTCAAGGTGCCCCTAAACAATAAAATAAACTTATAAGGTCCTTTTAAACCACTTTAAACATATAAGATCCTTCCAAACAAAATAGTGAATATATATGTCCCTTCCAGACAAATGTTCCTATAAATAATCTATTCATTGAGATGATAACCACAAGACTATTTTTTCTTATGTATAAATCACTAACATTAGTCAAAGTAGATTAGGTGAACCGTGCAAAAAGTCAAAACGTTTCACTTAAAAAATACGGAGGAAGTATATATAGAGTCCACCAAAGCCAATAATCAGTGCAATCAAAATTGGCATTCATCCTATGAATTCGATTCAGAAAATGACAGAACAAGGGCAAAGATACTAGGAAGATATGCCATCACTCCATTAGGAAAAAGAAAAAAACTACTCCGTACATAAAAAAAAAATGAGAAAGGTTTTGTGGGACGGATGGAAATTATTATAGTACATATAAAAAAAATAAAAAATAAAAATCAGAAAGGAGTAAAGACCATAAAAAAATTGTAATTCCCAAAAATGCGATTTCAAAAAAAAATACCTCTTTCAGCGCTAGTACAATTTCAACCATGAAAGGACTGATTTTATCCCATCCTGCTTCATCCTATTGAATAAAAAAAAAAGAGATAAATTATTTGATTAATATAATTACCCCATCCATCTCCAAAGTTTCTTCACATGTGGGTTCAGCATGGAAAATAACTGGAAAAATTAAAGTACCAGAAGTGATTAGAAAGGGGAAAAAATGTAAAGTCAAAGTAGTGAGAAGGAAAGAGAAAAAGGATTTATGTGATGGAGAGAATACATATGAAGTATTATGGGATTGTCATCTTCAACCCAAATTATAGTATTATAGAATTTGGACAGCCGATCAAGGAAAATGTGAAGTAAATCGAGGATGGAGGGAATACATATAGCTAGCATTTAGAGTTTAAGGAAAACAAATCAAACCTTGATCACATGGACAATAACAGAATACAAACAGTCAAGCCTATGACGTTTGGCTGAGAAATGGCATTTAGACTGCACTTCACTCAGGCATTTAGACTGCACTTCACTCAGGCATTTAGACCGCACTTCACTCATCAACTTGAGAATTTCTTCAATCTTCCTTGAAATAGACCCATCCGAATTCTACCAGCAAACCCAAGTCAAATGAACAGTTAAAAAACTGACTAGAAAAAGATCTTTATATCGCGCAAAAGAATTGAACTTTCATTTTAAACCATTAGAAACTCTGCTTACTTCAACCATAACAATGGTAAATAGAAGTAGAAATAAATTATATCCCTATTAATCAGAAACAAATGCTAAAAAGCATCATCTACCTCCTAGCCAATGATAAACCCACTTCAAAACGCTTATTATTGGGCACTTTTCATTTTTTAAGCATAAATCCTCAATGTTGCTGTGGCGGATTAAATAAATTAAAATCTGTAAAGAGGTTAAATTCACCTTGAGAATCATTGAAAGAACCTTGTACGCCTTCTTTTGGATCAAGCCATCAACATCCTGCAGCTCATTATATCAAAGATGCATCAGACATACCTCACAACCAAAGCTCAAAGAAAACTACAGTGAATAAATGAGATGATTATATATATTGGTGAATCACAAACCTCCAGTGATGGAATTATGGCAGAAAACATGATATCAGTATCCTGAGGACCAAAACCAGGCAAAAGAGAAACAGCCAGATCAAAATGCTGAGCTCTGCCATATTAAAAGAAGAAATGAGGAGTTATCATTATAAACATAGAAGAAACCGTGAACATAACACATTGGTAGGAGTAAACATGGGAATTCACCTTTTGGCTTTAACACAAAAGACATACTACTAACAGAAAAGACAAATAACACACTTCTTGCAAGAAAATGAATTATCACCAGATGAAGAGTCAATCTCCATTGAATCTCTTTCATTACCATCCTCAGTGACCTTCAAAAGTTGTTTCATTTCTTTCCTAAGTAATTTTGACACAGTGTCTTCACCCGCTATTGATGCAAATTCACATATTGTAGACTAGAATCAAACCAGAGCGGATGTAAGTTTCGAGAAGCATAAAAAAATTATAAGCAAACAATGAAAGAGCAACGCATACTTGCATAAATCATTTGGTATACCAAGACTGGGCTATAGTTTGTACCACAAATCAACTATTACTGGTCAAAGAAAGAAATTCTAACTTCAAGAAGAGGATTCTAGGTTCCAATTACTTCAAAAGAAAGCATCACTATCCTTAGAAAGCATATGAACCCATGAGGAGAATAGCAACAGTATAAAGCAGATTAACTTGTTTTTCTTTACAAGTTAAAATTATAATAAGTGAACTATCACTCATCAGTTTAGCCACCGGCCGAGTCAAGTGAAGCAGCCAGCAACCATAGGGCCATAGCAGACAGTTAATTTGACAAGGAAAGTCAGGAAAAATTAATCCAATACCCCATAATTTCCCACTTCCCAACATTTATACCAACTTTTATTATATTTATCCCCATACTGATGAAAACATCTAGGATCTGCATTCTAAGTTTGCTTACAACATCAAAGTTGTCACTGTTTTAACACAACACTGAAATGCAAGTCAGTATACCTCAATATTAACAATGTGTTCGCCCTGTTCGGGACCCAATTTAATGGGAAAATAGAGAAGTAAACCTATGGAAATCTGTGCAATTACAACCAGAAAGAATACATGGAAATCCTCAATGTTAACTTGTTTGGTTTGTTATTTTGGAAAACTGTGGAAAATTGAGTATCCTTCAGCTATGGTATTGATTTGCTTAGCTTTCCATAGTTATTCCAACACTTTTGAAAGAAAAGCCATTCAAAAAAAAAAAGGGCAACTAAAAGATTTTCCCACATTGGCTTAGATTTACACCTCCATACCTTCCCACAACCAAACAATGTATAACTAAAAAATTCTCAGAAACATAAACATTCACTCAGATTTCCTCCTTAAAGCTTGATCCCCTAAAACACTGGCATGGAGTCAGTCATTGAGGCATAACGAATTTTTCAAGCAGGGAAGGGGAATGGAGAGGAGAGAGATAAATAAGCCCTAAGGGAGACAGAAAATGTCTTCAAGTATCTCAAATCCACAAAAAAAAGGGATCAAATGAAATTCTAATAGATGCTTTACATACATAAAGGTTCAACAACTCTTTTACTGAACATCACAGAAACACATATTCACTAGTGCGTGAGGCAGGACACCCTCTTAATACAGTTCCAAAGCATAACAATTTCTGCTACATTATTTAGCAGACAATATATAAAAAGGCATGCCTAAGCGCTAGGGGTCAAACACCTTTTTTCTCTAGGACAAGTGATTTTAATGAAGCTCACCTAGGCGCACAACTTTTTTTTGCCACCGAATATTTTATTTCTATCAAGTACGCTTCAACTCAATGGGGTACAAAAAGGCACAACATGATCCCTATTGCCTCAGTGCACATTTGAGTTATTTTTATAGATTGTTAAGGACATCAAGGGTATTGACTAGGGGTAGTGGAATCTAAAATAAGAGGTGGTGATTGAAGGAGAAAGTGATGGGAAATTACACACTCATTTTGGTAAAGATACAAAGGTATTAAGCCTGGGGCTCACTGTGCTCACATAGCCCATCATACCTAATCATGGCTGAGCATTGAATTATAATTGAAACAAAATCAGTCAATCTATTGAAATAAAATCAATCAATCTATGTAGACCAACAACTTGACAGTACAGAACTTTTTTTGTCTAGATAGCCTGACAATGCAAAAAATAATAAATAAATAAACTGGAGCAAGAAAAAATAAATCATAAACATATACCTGCAACATTCAACAGGGTTGATATTGAATAAAGAAAAATAATCGACATGAGTTATGACAAACAAAAATGAAGTCACTCTACCCGAATATGCAAGCAGACACGGCTAACACTATATAACAGATAGAAACTTAAAACTGTAGCACGAAAAAGAACATAGAAATGTACCAGCAAGCTTCCACCAGGATCATTTGTGGAGTTTAGGAAAGCACTGAACAAAACTAACAAGAAATTACGAGCAGAAGATCTCAGCACTCCCAAATTAGCGGAAGCCACCTCTTGATTGTAAAAACCAATAGCTCTCTCAGTGGGAGCATTTAGTTTATTGATGGGTACATAATTGTTTCCTTCTAGAATACACTTATTCTGTTGAATGAGGATTTGCAAACTGGAGCAAATAATTCCTTGAAGTTCAGGCTCTTTATACAAAGCATTACATAAAACTTCCTCAAGAAGTTTGAAGCTTTCAGCAGTGTCCAAAGGGTAATTGCAAAATGAGGGCAATAAGGTCCACACTTGGTATACAATCCTGTCTGCATATCTTGATGCCTGGACTTGCCCCTCTAACTTAAGCTGGTAAAGTACTTTCGTTTATCAATGATACTAGAAAAAATGTATAAAATATTGATGAAAATTATGAGTATTTATGAAGGCTAAGTAGCAAAACTAAAAGTACCTTTTTGGATTTATGCTTGAGGTTTTCAACCGTACCCAGCAATGACTCAACATAGAACCTAAAACGTGCACCAACTGTATACTGTTTTAGAATTGGAAAAAGGCAACCATTGATATCAGACAGAGTGTCAGCTTCCAAATTCAGAGGCAAAATGCGTAAAAAGACTTCAGGTCCCACTGCCCCAAGTGCTGATCCAATGCAATCTTGCAGCTGTACATGAGAACAAGCATCACAAGTCAAAGAGGTAGATTGAAGGTAAGAAAACATTAAATAGAAGGGGAATGGGAAAGGAAAGGGGAAAGTATTGCTATGACACAGTTTCCATAAATCATTAGTTGCATATGTCATATATCAATCATTAGAATCTGAAAAAGGATATATAGTCTGAGTAATTGTGTACACTACAGCACAAACTATCAAACCATATACTACAATTTGTTGGGAAAACCAGGCAATCTTGGGAGAGATGGCAGAGGTAAACCCAGGCACATTTTGGGTTCAAAGAACTTCTTACCCAGTTGAATTTCAGTTCCGACCACGTGTAAGACAAGACTGGTAACAATCAAATCATGAAAGTTCAAAAAAACTCTTCTTTGCATGAGGAACTTTTCTTGATAAGAGGGGAACCGCTAACATAGGAAAAAAAAAAATGCAATCACTTTCTAACTATGCGGTGAAGTCAGCAGGCCTTACTAGGACACTTAGCAGATAAAACTGGATTTTAATAATAAGAATATAAGATATGATAGCAAATGTTTTGGGTAAGAACCATTGATAGCTTGCAAAATAGTGAAGTATGTAACAACATTTGCCTGAGATTTCATGACGATACAAAAATTTTCTCAGCTTTCTATTCTGATCAATGAGGATATTGTGAACAACGATGATCCTGACAGTAAATATATGACATCCCTCTTTACACCTTGTTTAACGGAAAGCTTCAGCAGAACAGAATACAATATGAAAGTGACTAAAATGGAATCACCAACTTTCATGGGGATTGAGCTATAAAGTGAAAAGGCAACCTGTTTCCTCTCCGGGAAATCCTCCTCGCTTTCCTTTTCAATGCTTGCCAAGCTCTCCAGGCTGCCTCTTAAGAGGACAGCAGAGAAAGTACCTAAAAACAGTAACCCAAAAATAAATACACCCTACATGAGATAGAATGTAGGTAAGGAAAGCAGCTTCTGAAAGTCTAAAATAAGCACATCTTTATGATTACCTAGTTTGTCAAACATCAAAGAGACAATCTGGAAGGCCATGTCCCACTCGCTACGATATCTGTTGTCGAGCAAACTTCCAATAGTAGCACAAATTTTCTCAATAGTAGACGGTGCAGACTTTCTGTTGTTGAAGTCTAAATTGCTGTTTACTCGGTCAACACCTTTCTTTATTAGGTCTTCATCAACACAAGCTTGTATCAGATTCTTCAATGACTCAGTCGCAGCAAATTTAGCTTCCTCGAACCCAGATCCAAAAATATCTGCCAAGTAGGCCAGTAGAATGCCAAGAAACAGAATGGTAAGATATCACTGAAATAATTTTGCTTGTCATGCAGAAATATGGAAAAGGAGAAAAAACAACCTTGCAAAGCATTTAGTACAAGTGGAAGCTTATCAATGCAGATCTGCCGGTTGAGATTGTAAACTTTCCTCATTCCGACATCCAACAGACGAGCAGTAAAATTCATGCCATCAGCTGACGTTTCATTCACTGGTACTGAAGTAGCCAAAGTGCTTAGAAGGTCCACCAAATCTTCGGGTTTAACCTCCACACTAGGCCATGGCAAAGCCAAAGTAAGAGTGTAAGATTATGTGTCACATGTAAGAAAATTTACTGATTGTACAAGATATTTGGCCGTTAAAAAGAAAGTCATATTATGATTTATGACACACATACTACCTTTAAGATTTAATTTTCAAGCTTCCTAAAAGAAAAAGGCTATTTGGTTACACTATACTAAATCCTATGCAAATTTTGAAGCTCCTCAACATCAAGACATTGGCAGCAATTGCAGCAATCCAGTTATTAAAACCTTCACCTCACCCCCAAACTAATTTTCGGATACGACAAAGACACTGCTGCACTGCACAGAGATTGCAGCAATCCAGTCTAACTTTCTCCTCCTTCCAATGATAATTTTTTTACGTATCTTTTTGTTCCGAGACAGTAAACAGTTACGACTTACGAGCAATCAAACGACACACTCAATAAATTTATCAATGCCGGAAATTTAACATAGTACAAGCACATGATTAATAAACTCATCAACCAAACCACACACACTAATTAAGCATATTTTAAGAGCTTAAACATTATAAAAGCAGTATCTTTCAACACCATTTGATGTCAAAATTCCTCATTCAACAGAACACATAAAAAACTAATTAATTGATCAAAATTAACAACATATAAATTCGCAAATTTGGTACCTTACTATCCGAATGAGTGACGAAACCAAGAAGAAATCCATAATACAGACTAACATCAGACCAATTTAAAGAATCCCTAATAACCAGCAACCCAGAAACACAGCTCAACCCAGCCACAACACCATCAGTCGACAAACAACTACCGCCTCGTAAAACCCTAATCAACAAACCCAACAACAACACCTTCCTCTTCCTAAGACTCCCAACAGGAATCCTCGGCATAATCAAACTCATCAAAGTAAGAAGTGCCTCAACATTGTGGTCGGGTGACGTGGAGGAAGAATGAGAGGAGACACAAAGTCGATCAAGGGAAGAAACAATGGAGCCAAAGTAAGCAGCAGGTAAGAGAGGAACGTTGTTGTCTTTGAGACCTTGCGACATTGTTCCGATAACATTGCAGAGATTGAGGTGTTGTTCGTTGGTGGATTTGCCGAATTGAGAGATGATTGAGGTGCAGAAATCTTCATGTTGTTCTTCAATTGGGTCGAATTCTTCAAGGTCTAAACCTTCAATTTCCATATCCATGGCGGATGAAATTCGGGAAGAAGACGGTGTTAAACCCTGGAATTGAGGGGAGATGATGAATGCAAGGGTTTTGGAGGGTTTTAGGTGGCAGGGGCGTATGGCCGTATGGGTACACATATACAGTTGTACCCACGCTTTAGAGATGATCATTGAGCGGGTCGGACCGAAGCGAAAACATTAAGCTCAATTCCCGGGTCGGGTTGGACCAAGCTTTTGGCTAAAATTTTCGTGCCCAAATTCGCTCAAATAGTCGAACCGGGCCTAAAAATCAACTAAATATGCATAAAAACGCATTTTCAAACTCGCCCAAAAAAATTAAATTTTTGGGCCGAAAAATTCTACCCAAAATCGGGTTGGGCTAACTTTGATCACCTCCACCACATTTCCAAAAAGAATAAAAAAAACTTTTTAATAAAGAGACCGGTTGTCATCTACTCTCCCCGTCCCTAAATTTTTGCCCCATTTGACATTTTGCCATCTCCAAAATGCATCTTATTACGGTTTTATTTTAATTTTTATAAGTGTAAAAATTATAAAAGTTAGATATTAATAAAATATGCAATGAGACAAATCCAAAAAGGTCCCACATGATTAGATTATTTATTATAGATTAAGAGTATTTTACGGTCAAAGATTATAAAGTTTGACCTAAATTTCTGCAATGGGGCAAAAATACAAGGACTTAAAATTTTGGAAGAAGGTAGTGTTAAATGGAAGAGGGTCGTATGCATTTAGCAATATCATCAAAAATAGACTTTAAATTTAAATTCATTCAAACCCTGAAATTAGTGGATCAAAATCTACTCGTTACTCATTCCCACTTAACCAATTATCAGTCTCTGATTAATCAATCAATTAAACAAATCTTTAATCCCATAAGTGGGGTCGATTACATAAACCAAATTTGATTATTTTGTGTGGTCATCCACAAAACTCTTCCTCCTCCATTCCTAAGTATTCAATGTTTCATCCTCATAACTAGTTTTTGGGCCCGGGCGATGTCCCGGGTTATTACATGAAACTAACTGATCATTAATATACATTGTAATTTATGATTTTATTTTCTTGTAATTAAATTTGTTATTCATATTGTCATTTGCTACATATTAACATTTTGTATCTAAAAGATTACATAAAGAATCACATAGCTTGGTGGTAAGACATTTACTTCTTGAATTGGAAGTTGGGAGTTCAAATCTTGTGGAGAATTATTTTTTTAAAAAACTATTATGAGTGCATGACATGAAATGAAAATCAATGGAAGAGAGAGTCATGTGGCGTTATGAGTACTTGAATGGATGACGTGGCGTAGTGAGGGGAGATTATGTGACACGTGAACGTTGTTAGAAACGCATTTTAATAGATTAGTATAGATTCGTTTCCCATACTCTATCTAATTTGTCTTGGTCTAATTCGCACCACTTAATAAATGAATGCCTCATTTGTGCTTTTCAAATGAATTTAAAAATATGGTACTGTAAGTTTGTAATTAACTAAAATTGCAAGTCAATTCCCCCTAATGTAAGACTTTTTTTAATTCCTATCACCATTGAGGAAATCCTTTTTTTCTCAAAATCATTTAATGTACACTTGACAATCAACCATGCATCATTTGTAACTACCTTTGGTAGAAAGCAATACATAGGTAATCAACAAGAGTATACTCATCATATATATGATGCATTTACAACCAATCAAAGCATACATTGTATTGATACACAAACTCTTTTTCCTCTTACTTTAAAGGCCCCAAGGAGTGATGCTACACATACAATGGTTGTATGTAGTAGTCCACATACAATTGTTGTATGTGGTAGCCATTGTATGTATATCATGTCAAAAGAGAAGAAAATAATAAGAGGGAAAAAGTAAGGAAAACAAAATTAGGGAAGTGGACCCTAAAATGCAAACTAATCAAATGCTGCGAACAGTAATTGTATGTAGACCATCACATACAACCATTGTATGTGTAGCCTTTCGCGGCCCTAAGCCCCCCCCCCCTCTTTTTTTCTTTTTTCTTTTTGAAAATCAATACACTGGTAACAAACTTTACCTAAAAATAGATACTCATTCTATTTCATAACACAATGCTAGTTTTTAAATATTTGACACACTATTAAAATAAAATGAGACCATTAATATATATTTTTTTCTTCAACTTATGTGACCCACTTATTAACCTTTTTAAATGCAAAGTAAAATTTAACTTACCCCATCTCTCACCCTTACTATGCCCACTATTCAATTTAAAACTTTCAAATATTATCCCGTCCACTTCACTTTAACATTATTCAATATAATAAGCTCAATATACATTCATACCTTTTCTTAAACTTTATAACATGAGATCGAAAGCTTCTCAGGTGTTGCAATACATAAAGAGGGAGTAACTAATTTTAACTATGGAGTACGAGTACATGCAAAAGAACATTAAGTTTAATTCTTTCTAGAGATTTAGGAGTTAAAGTGGAGCAATTAGAAAAGTAATGAAGTTAACAATCTAAAAAATTAAAATAAAATAGAGAGGAGGTAAATAACCAATAATAGTTAGAAGCAATTGAATGAAGAGTACGCAACTGGGGAAAAATAACGAACAAAATTTTGGAATAATACAACTCCATTGTCATTAGGAATTCTAACAACTCAACCAGACAACATTCAAGTGAAATTAAACCATAACAAAATGAGTAAATTTAATCATTGATTAATATACATGTACAATTACAAATGCTAGAGTAATAATTAAAAAAAAAAAAAGTACTAGTAGCATTACTTTAGTAGGAAGAATTATTTGAATTGGTTAAAAGTTAATCAATGATTAACCTACCAACATTATAATCCATTAATCCTTCAACTTCACGTTAGCACCAATGTCGAAACTCGAACCATAGGACGACTCTACGAGAGATCGACAGCTCCATCTACCCATCGGATAAACTACCCAGTACCCACCTCTAATTCACGATCAAAGAATATTTAACAGTTTCGGGCTAGTAAAATCCCGACAGCTTATTAAAAACTATTAGAGGTGGATAATTTACGCGATGAATAGACCCGTTTTCGACAACTCCTAGGAGAAGCACAACCAATTTCACCCTCCTCACCCCATAATCTAACCACACTACCATCAATCACTTTCCTATTTTGGTAACTATACCATCCTAAATCACCTCCTCTCATCTCGACCGTCAATTCGGAAGACGAACCCCATCGTTTAATCATCACCCATTCATTATTCTTCATCTCATCAACTTCTTCATCATCGTCATCGTTATAATCTCCACCGTCCATTTCACCGTCGTCATTTTTACCCTCGTCATTTTCTCTCTCCTCGTAAAAAACAGTAAAAAACTTTTTACTGTTTCCCCTCGTCAACACCCCCTCTTCTTCATCTTCATCTTCATCTTCAGTTTCTCTCTCCTTTTCCTCGACACCGCCTTTTCTAACAAACGGCGTCGTTTTGGGAACCGTAGGAGCTGGTTCTAGAATGTGGGACGACGTCGTTTTGACGGATGAGTTACGAAGGCGCCAGAAGCTAACAGCGGCGGTGACAACGGCGAGCCATGCCCAGATATTGTTAAGTACGGCGGATAATAGAGGGCCAAGATTAACTGGGATGAAGGCTAATGACTCTAAGGGTGAATCAAGGCCGTTCATTTTTTTTTTTGTTTTAATTTAATTTGTTGTTGTGAAAAAATAAAATTGATTAGATGGACAATGTGGTGGTTATGGTAGGAAGGAAGAGTGTGTTGAGGAGGAGAGAGAGAAAGGGTGTATTTAAAGGGAGAGGAAAATTTGGAGAGAGAAAATAATATGCTGAGAATCGAAGGATCAAAGATGCCAAAATGCCGTTTATTTTTTTATTTTTTGGATGGAATTATTGAAATATTCATTTTTGTACTAAGGGAAAGGGATATTATTTCACCACTCGTGCGAAAGTAGTGGCCTATAACGGCTTATATGCGGGGTAGATTCTGTTATAAATTCGGGTGTATCTTATTTTAATGTTAGTAATATTCGTAATTTGTATTTTTACATTCCTGATTAAAAACTATAGTTGGTAGTGTATAGATACTCTGTACATCCTAAAATTAAGTGTTTCTTGCATAGTATTATTTTTTAAATGGTCTTAAAAACATGTTTTTTAATTACACATCAACATAATTTATAAATAAGTTGATACTACTCCGTATAAAACTACACATTGTGTTGTACTATGATATCTTGGATTATTATAGATTATTTTATTGATATAATAATGAGAAATTGTGTTTTTTAATTACACATTAACAAAATTTATAAATAAGTTGATACTATAAAACTAGACATTGGATTATGCTACGATATTTTGGATTGTTATGGATTATTTTATTGATATAATAATGAGAATTTGTGGTCAAAGTTTTTAAAGTGTCATAAAAATATACTAGTAAATACTTATAATTTTGGGACTAATGTAAAAGGTTTAGCTATCAAGTGAATATTACTAGTGAAGATAGGTAATTAAATTATGAAAATTTTGCAGTATGAAGTTGTAGTTAATTGACGGTTTAAATGTGAATAATTGAATATATATTTGGTTTAAACTAAAGATGTAGATAATAATGTATCAACTACTAAGTTTATCTATCACAACTTCACAAGCTACATAGAACTATTTTAACTTTTACTAATAAAAACTACTTGCACCACTAATCACTATCAACTACTACCTTGTTAAAAAAAACCATTTTTTTTACAATTGAGTTGTATCTTAATTGATCTGGTGAAAACACTAAAAATTATTTAAAAGTTATTACCAAACACGACCTTTATATACTTAAATTTTCAACTATCCACCCATTTTAATTGAACAATCTCAATTGATAGTCTTAGAATGGCACTTGGATGCACAATAGAAATCACAGTAGGGTCCGATTATTTAATCTATTGGCTGATTTTTTAAGGATATCTAGCATTAGTTGGATCACTTGGATGTATGATGTTTATATTTTTGTCTGAATAGGGCTAAAATTGGCTGGCCAATAGAATTAAGAGTCAAAGAAATTTTGGGATTATGTTATTGTTGAGACTGATACTTGTAACTGACCAATCAGAAAGGAAGGATGGGCGGAATTTGTGGCTCATGAGATCACCTGGAAATGAGGCTGCTACTCTTTTTAGTAAGAATTAGGAGAGGATATTCCCCTTTGCTACTTATATTTGTACATTTTTCTACTGTCTTCAATTATCAACTTGCATGCAACTGGCCCAAAATAATTAAAAAAAATAAATATATCTATACGTATCATATGGTTCAAATTATAGCGATCTTTGTATGTATAGAATCGTAAAGATAATGATGTAAGCGGGAATAAATTAGATTTTTTTTTTTTTTCAGTTTTCATATTTAGTAGAAGAATCACAATATAAGAGGCTATAAATAAATAAAGAAGAATTGAATGAGTTAGACTTTTGTATGGAGAGCCTCAAATGTATATAATGATGTGGGCAAAATGAGTTAGATATTTGACATATATGCATGGAGTTTTGTGTGTTATAGTTCAAACTAAAGAATATCACAAACTTAGTATATTTTTAAGGTTAGCCTTTTACCTTATTAAGAAGTAGATATGCAAACAATAGCTATCTAACAAGACGTATACGGATAAACTTATAACTTTCTCTTCGATTCATATGAAAAATGAATTGTATTGATTAAAAAGAATAGAGTACCATTTTTTGTTAGGAATAATCGGTTCAATTCAATCCCACTAATTATGATTTGTTTGCAATAAGCCAATAAGTGTCACATACAATTTTAAATTGGTGCATTCCACATCACAAATTACAATGTTAGGTTCAAAACAAGACATAAATGATGTTGAAGTACTCTAATTACTCCATATTAATTTGTGTTGTCAAGTGTACCCACTGAAAATTATGCTACAGTTTGTACCAAACCCATAATTAGTGTCATTAAGGCCAATAACCAGTACGTGAAAAAACGCATTTGGCACCGGTTCAAACTCGGCCTAAGGCACCGGTTTGAACCCGTGCCTATGTGGGGGTTGCCAAATACCCCTCTTTTTGGCACCGGTTCAAAACCGGTGCCATAAACCGGTTTTGGCACCGGTTAACTGGTGCCTTAACTAATTCCGCGAAATAAATTTTTTTGGTGGAAGCTCTTTTAGGCACCGGTTAACCGGTGCCTTTTTGGTATTATTATTATTATTATTATTATTATTATTATTATTATTTTTAACTTTTTTCTTGCAATAATAATAAAAATAATATACAAACAAGTTAACAAAGATCATAAATACGAACCAAACAAAATGGTAAAATACGAAGTCTTGATCGAAATTGTTATAACATCAAAACAATTGTAAATCACATTATATTCAAGTAAATTGTTATTGTACAATACAAAAAAAATAAAAAATAAAAAGTTACAATAAATTATAATGAAATTCTAACTCAGAAATTGAAATTGTAAAACAATAAAATAAAATAAAAAAAAAACAAAAAAATTACAACATCAAAACAATATTCCAAAAAAAAAGTCTTGAATCCTTGAATTGTAGCATGAATTAACACCTGCATCAATAATAACCCAGAAATTATTAAAACTCAAAAAAAAAAAAACAAGAAATATAGAAAACCCAGAAAACTCATGCATGCAAGATAAAGAGAAAGAGAAAATCAATATAGAAAACCCAGAAAACCGCACAAATATTGAATTAACCCCAAAACTTTCGAAAATCAATTAACCCCAAAACTTTCGAAAATCAATTAATCCAGAAACTTTCGAAAATCAATTAACCAAAAACAACAATTAACCCAAAACTTTCAAAAATCAATTAATCCCAGAAATTTCGAAAAATCAATTAAGTGCAAATTTACAACAATCAAACCCAAAAAAATTAAGACAATGAATTATAATTACACCAATAAATTTTGAACAATATTACAACAATCAAAGCCAAAAAAATTAAGGCATATAACATAAATAATTAAACCCGGAAATCCTTACCAATTAAACCAAGAAACATGCACTAACCTCAAATTTGACCAGAAAATAAGTTGTATCAGTGGCGGCGGTGGTTAGTGGCGTCGGTGGTGGTGGGCAGAAGACAGAAGAGAGGTGGGAGATCTAGAAAGAAGAGGACATAGAAGGGAGAGAGGACAGAGAAGAGAGGTCGGAGAGAGAAGGAGGGGAGGAGAGGAACGCCGGCGATCTAGCTTAGATCAGAGGAGGAAGAAGATAAGGGGATCGTGATTAGAGGAGAGAGAAGGAGAAGTGCCGTGGGAATGAGGAGAGAGAAGGAGGTAGCTAGGTTAGGTTATATTAGAGTGTATTTATATAAAGGAAAGGCCGGGGTTTTTTTTTTTTTGGAGCAACGGTTCAGTGGCACCGGTTCAAACCGCTGGCCATTTTATTTTTGGCACCGGTTTGAGCTGAACCAGTGCCATTGTTCTCGGTCTAATTCCCAGCCCAATTGTAGGCCGGTTTTTGGCACCGGTTTGGCTTGAACCGGTGCCAATTGGGGGTTGCCTTTTTGTATTTTTCTACTAGTGAACAACAATTCTCATAGATTTATGTCCTATCATATGAGCCGTTTCTTCTATACTTCATTTTTTTTAATAGTTGCAACAGTTTGACTTTTACACTATTTAAGTACTCTACTTTGACATGTTTATTATTTTTATATATTCACAATTAAAAATATTAATGATTGAAATAATATATTGGTAAGCATGAAAAACAAAAAGTGTTGTAAGTATAAAAAAAAAAACACAAATTATATAACATAGGGACCTTATCAAAAAACACTATTTTGAAATTAGTTTACAGCTACTACTCCGTGCTATATTGTACGAGTATTATAAAAATGTGTTTAGTTTTATTGATTATGATGGAGGTGTTTAATGAATGAAGGCAATTCTCTTAGTTTGCGCCTCTAAATTAGTTGTCAATCAAAGGCTTCAATAGTTAAATTCATCATCACATACACTAATGTAATGTCCACTTATTATTTTGATGGTATATAGAATAAAGTTACATGTTTGGATTTTGTACATTTGTATTTCCACCTTAGCTTTTTAGTACAACAGTAAGTTTGCTAACATATCTACATTCATATAGGGGCGGATCTATTAAGGTGCACAGTGAGTCACGTGACTCACCAGCACAAAAAAAAAAAAAAAAAAAAAAAAAAAAAAAAAAAAAAAAAATCTAAGAGACCGCCTATCTGTAATAGGCGGTCTCTTTGTTGCTTCTGATTAGCCCACTGTCAGTTTTTAAATATCAAATAGACCGCATATTAAAATATCAGATAGGTGGTCTCTTTGTTGCTGCTAGTGCCACCATGTCATTAGAGACCTGTTCTCTAGAAAACATGTCTCTTTTTGTCAGCCTGAATTAGAATAATTTTTTGTGCTGCTTTCATATTTCGTTAAAGAGACCTGTTATATTTAATAACAGGACTTTTAAGTTATCTTACTTTTTTTTAAAAAAAAATTCTTGTTTTTAAGTAAAAAATCATAAAGTTAGTTTAATGTAATAGTTTTATAGTATGTTTTTTTATATCCTATTTTTGGATTGAAATCATTTTGGTAAAATAATTTTTTTTTTTATTTTTATTTTTTATATGATTTTTGGATTGAAACAAGTGATCAATTATTGATGGTGACTCATAAGTTCGAAAATCCTAAATCCGCCACTGCATTCATATGGCCTTGTTTGGCAATTGGGTTTTGGCGGTTGGCTGGTTCACTTGGCTTGGTTGTCCTGCTGGTATGTTTGGCTGTTTATAATGGCTTTTGAAATTGGCTGTTAAAGCTGACTGTTTATAAAAGTGTTTGGTAAATTAATTGTTGGTAGTTGGCTGTTTATTAGATAATTTGTGGGCCAACAAGCCAAAAGCCAACCAAAAAGCTATTCAAAGCAACTTTTTCATTTTGGCTTAAAAGCCAGCTTTTTCACTGGCTAAAAAGCCAATTACCAAACACATTTTTTGGCTGTTTGACCTCATAAAAAAACCAAAAGCCAAAAGCTAACCAAAAAGTCACCAAAAATCCATTTACCAAACATAGCCTAATGTCATAATGTGCGACAATTCAAACCAACACAGCTAGGGGTGTACATAAACAGGACCGGACCTGAAAACCGACCTGAACCGGACCTGTTGGGACCGGACCTGATCCGGACCTGTAGATTCAGGTCCGGTCCCGGTCCTTGAAATTCAAGGTTTCCGGTTCCGGTCCGGATCAGGTCCAAAACCGGGGTTTTCAGGTCCGGACCTGAAACCCGGATTTTTTATATAATATATATATAAAAAAAATATAAAAGCCTAAAAAACCTAATACTTCAACTGCAACGCCTCTTCTCCTCTCACCTTTTCTCTTATCCTTTCTGATTCTCAGTATCCCCTCTTCCTCTCTAATTCTCAATCTCCCCTCTTCCTCTCTGATTCTCAATCTCACCCTTTCTTTCTGGTTCTCAACGACTCCTCTTCCTCTCCTCTTCTCTCTTCCTGGCTCCAGCATCGTGGGATTGGAGCACCGTCGTCCAACATCGAGGCCCCGTCGTCCACCATCTGCCGTCACCAGAGTATGTTTATACTTTAGTTTTAGTTGAATATAGGTTAGTATGTAGATCTAGTTTTATTTTTCACATAATTTACGATTATAATTATCTTTTTTAATGAAATTGTAATGTAAAATTATAAATTTTGTAATTTAAGTTTGTAGATCTATTTTTTCGAAATTTCTGTATTTTTTTTCTCGGATTTTCTGACAATTTATGTATAATTTGTTTTTTGCGATTTTTTTGTTCGTTTTTTTGTTTTTTGTTCGGATGTTGGATGTATGTGTGGAATCGATTTGGGTTTTTTTCTTTTTCTTTTGTTTTTCTGGGTTGTGGGTGCGGTGGATGCCTGACGGTGGTGGGTTTTTTTTTTCAATTTTTTCGTTTTTCTGGGTTATGGGTGGGTATCAATGGGTCTGGGTTGTTGGGGTTATGGTGTCTGGGTTAAGGGGGTAATTTTTTCGTTTTTCTGGGTTATGGGTGGGTATCAATGGGTCTGGGTTGTTGGGGTTATGGTGTCTGGGTTAAGGGGGTTAAGGTGGTTAAGGGGTGAGTTGGGGTAGGTGGTAGAAGGAAAGAAGCTTGTGGTGGTGGGCTGTGCGTAGGGGTGTATGTATTAGTGGTGGTGGGTTGTTCGTAGGAGGTTGTTGATGATAGTTTTTAGTCAAAACTTTGGCTTGAATAAAGAAAAAAAAAAAGGGAAAATACAAATTCAGGTCTGTTCAGGTCTAAACCCGGACCGAACCTGAATTTTCAGGTCTGACCCGAAACCGGACCTGTTGATTCAGGTCCGGTCTCCGGTCCTCAAAATTCTCTAATTCAGGTCCCCGGTCCAAACAGGTCCGGTCCAGGTCCGGTCCGGTTTTGGACCGGTGTACACCCCTAAACACAGCAACACTAATTACAGCACTAGCTTGATTTCATGCTAATTCTAGTAATGTTGGTGATCAACCTAGCCTACCATTTAACACCTACTACTCTACTAGTAACTAAAAGAGTAATCACCTTAAAATAATCATATGACAATAATGGAGTTTCTAAACTTGTGTGATCAACTATTTGTATTCTTTTATCAATGTAAGGCCCTGTTCTCTTCACCTTAATTTTGTTGAACTGAAATTATTTTTACTGAACTGAAATTATTTTTGCTGAACTTAAATTATTTTTACTGAACTTAAATAAATTTTCCTAAACTGGAATTATTTTTGCTGAACTCAAATTATTTTTACTGATTTTCTATTATAATTCTTTTTTTAAGAAAACTGAATTTTACTAAACTGAACTTATTTTTACTGAACTGAAATTATTTTTACTGAACCGAAATATTTTTACTTAATATTTTTTTTTAAAGTGAATAGAACAGGGCCTAAGACACACACATGATATGTGTTGTTTAAGAAGAAACTCACATATTTCCTTTTACATGCGAGGGTTTTTTTTTATTTAAATTTTTTTTTATTTATTTTTTAATTTTTATTTTTATTATGAATCTATGACTAACATTAGTTACATGGATTGTAAATGATTTCGAAACTTCTCCTCACAAGTTATTTTGGCTTGCAATAATATTTAAGGACTAAGGCCTTGTTCTCTTCACCTTAATTTTGCTGAAGTGAAATTATTTTTACTGAACTTAAATTATTTTTACTGAACTGAAATTAATTTTACTGAACTTAAATTATTTTTACAGAACTGAAATTATTTTTACTTAATATTATTTTGTTAAGGTAAATAGAACAGGGCATAACTCTTTTATACCATCGCACTTGTTTGGAGTTGTATAGCAATTGTTGTGGCTTGTATGTGATATTTCACAGGGATTAGAGCACGCTTTTCACATTAGGTCTTAAGGATTTTATCTAGGGTGTTACTAAATGCCACAAGGAAATTACTTAGGGCGCGGTATTAAATGACTCATCTACCCTTATAAATTTTATGTTTGACATTATTCAATTTTTCTCACCAATTATACTCCTTCCACCACCATCACCCTAAACACCATCACCACCACCACCCATCACCGAAATCACCATCACCGTACACACCATCACCACCACCACCCAAAGGTCGCCGAAATCATCCAATTTCTCACTATCTATCACACCAAATCAACCACTTATCATACCAAATCAACCGGAAAAAGGAAGGGGCTGACAACAATGGAATCGCGGCGTGGGAAGGGGGTTCATTTGCCGGGAAACGCGGGGAAAACGCCGGCCAATTCGTCGGTAATTTTTTTTTATTTTCGCATAAAATCGCATAGTCGCGTGCTATATGCGACTCCACCACGGTACAATCGCATATAGCGTGCGACTATACCACGGTACAATCGCATATAGCGTGCGACTGTACCACGGTACAATCGCATGCTATATGCGACTATGCCGTGTTGGAGTCGCTTATAGCACGCGACTATGTTTTTTTTTTTTTGAATTTAAATTTCCAATTATGATTGTAATTTGTTTTTCTTTTTAAATTTCTAATTATCATCCGTAAATTAATTTTGAATTGGTGATAAAATTAGTAATGTAATTTGAGTTATGGTAATATTATTATTATTTTTTTTAAAAAAAAATCGAATTAATATTTTTTTTAATTACGGTATTTTTTTTGAATTCGAATTAATATTTTATTTGATAATAAAATTTAAATATTAATCATGTTTTACTTGATCCATGTGAAAATATATCTTTTTTATTTAAAGTTAATTTCAAATTAGTCATAAATTTTTTGAAAAGTATATTGTTTTAAAAAAATGATTGTTATTGTTTAATCAACTGAAAACCAACTGAAACTAAAAACCAATTGAAAATATAAATTTTTGAATAGTATATTGTTTAATCAACTGAAAACCAACTTAAATATGTTATTTAAAAAAATGATTTGAACAGTATATTGTTTAATAGTAAAATTATTAGTAATAATACTTGAAATAATAATAATCATTGTTAGAATTATGAATATAATAATTTGAAATTTTATTATTATATTAAATAGCGACAAGGTGGAAAATCAATTGTGGTGAATGATGTGTTGACTAGCTCGGGGCCGCGACACACTCGAGCCCGAAACATCGATGCCTCTGTTAGGAGAGAAAGGGATGCTGCACGATTGGGAAAGTCTGTTGTTGATGGTGCTTCTGATGATGTATCTGTTCCTTTTGACGACGAGCCTGATCACGGACGAGCTAGTGAGTTCGAGGAGATGGAGGAGTTTGAGGGTAATTTTGATCAGAGTGGTGAGCATGATGATACGTCAGGTATAGTGGTTGGTAGAAGGGCTAGAGATGGTAAGTTTGTCGCTTCTGACACCGGTAGCACCACTAGTAGACGACGTACTAATAAACGTCAAAGACAAGTTGATGATGATTCTTGGATAGTGAAGGAGGACATGTCCGGTGGGCCCCTTGATGGTAGTGTTATTCCTAGTTTCGGAGGCCATGTTGCTTTCCTGAAAATTTTTCCTTGATCTTTATTATTCGTTATTTTCTTAACTCTATGCTCTATATCTTTGTTAATATGACATGTGCATAGTAAATGAGCAGTGTCAGGAAATATTTCCCGAATAGGCGACATCAAACCCAACTCACAATCGGTTATAATAGCCGTAGGCGATACATCACTACCAACCAGCAACTTTAACTTATCTATCACCCATGCATAGCTCACAGCGCTCTCATCCTTCATAAAAGCATACCCGATCAAGAAATTCATGTTGCAAGGAGTAACACCAACGAGCTCCAAAAAAGGCATTTTGTATTTGTTTGTCTTGTAAGTTGAATCAATGCCAATGACCCACGGATACGTGCGTAAGAGCGCTAGAGACGTAGGATGTGCCATAAATACATGAGTCAAAACATTCGTATCCGGGTCAACCAAGCTCCAATGTGTATACTGCGACTCGATACTAAGTTCAAGGAAATATGTAACAGCAGCTCGACCATCAGCATCTTCAAGTCTCAACCGATCCCTAAAGTTGTAAATATGTCTACGATTGGGATGATCATCAGGAAACTGATTCCGTACAGCCGCTAAGATATTTTGTGGCTTCACTTTTGCATCGGTCAGGTCACGAACAAGTTGCTTCGCACCCGGACTAAGCTTGCTCATTTGTCGATTGCCTTCTTCATAGACAATTAGCTCATGGTTGTGTTTTCCATATGCATCGGGACCCAAGACAATCTGCCATCCTTCATCATCAGAAACTTTATAACCCTTGATCAAAAACTTGCAACCGCAATGTTGAGTTTTTGTCTTTGGTCGTTGAGCAACACTAAGATCTCTATTTTTCCCCCTATCTCTTGCACCACGATTGCATCTCAAATACAACCATCCGTTATGGTTGTAAGAAATCACAAGTTGAAATTTGAGTGTTAGTGCAATGTCTTTCGCCCATTGTGACAACTCTCGATACGTTGGAAATAATTGATCGGTCTGAAAATGTGGGTAATAATTTACCCCATCACCGCCAAAATCTTCAATTGGATCCTATAAGAAAGAAAAATACTAAGTTAATTAAAATTAAATTTAACTACAAATTAAATTAAATTCAATTGAAAACAAATATAATATTTTTTTTTTTTGCAAATTTAAACTACTAATTTTTTTTATTAAGCCATAAATTTACTAATTAAATTAAGTGTATTTTTTTATTTTTAATAATTATCAAAAATTAATAAATATAAATTACGCGGATTGCTTAAAATTTTTTTTTAAAAAAAATATATATATATAAAGGTTCCCGGTCGCATGTTATATGAGACTATACCACGGTGTAGTCGCATATAGCATGCGACTGGGCACATCGGAAATTGAAAAAAAAATGTCCGACATATACCTGACTCGACGGCGTCGACGGTTCATCGTCCCCGCCAAGTGCCTCCGATATGAACGCCGACCGTCGTCGACTCATTTTATATCTCGTGGGTGGTCAAGGTAAAGTCGTGGTGTATGATGGTCAAGGTGGAGTCGTGGTGGTGGACCAGTTAAGGTGGAGTCGTGGTGGTGGACCAGTCAAGGTGAGTGATAGCATGGGTGGTGGAGCTAATGGTGAAGGTGGAGCAAAGGCAAAGTTAGTAATGGTTGGATTGTTATGTAATTTTTAAAATTATAAGGGGCATGAAAGTCATTTAATACTATAACTTGAGTAATTTTATTGTGGCAAATAGCAATTCACTTTATCTAAGCTAGGTTATCTTCTCAAGTACGTTTGATACTTGGGAAAAAAAAACTTATAGCGTAAACACACTAATGTTGCCCAGCTCTTAGCAAGTTGACAATTGCCAAACTCACTCCTATTATTCTATAAGGTGTCCATGAAGGAGTGGCCAAGAATCATCCTCCATTTCTTACCGCGGTTCTTATCTCGATCTTGACTCGATTAAAATGTAAATTTAGACAAATATGCCACATATTCAACTACGCAACCCAAGGAGTATTTTCCTTCCGGTTTCAGGAAATCTTAGGATCGATTCTCACCCCGCCTTTGTGGCTCTCTTAACACACAAAAAAAAAAGGCCAGTAACATACTTCCTCCGTTTGTTTAATTGACATTATTTGACTTTTACATTATTCACACACTTCACTTTGACTATCCCATTACATTATATTTTATGTGGCAACCTTAAATCAACATTATGAAATTAAAGGATTGCGACATCTCATAACTACACAATCGAAGAATGCAAACCCAAACATCAATCAAAATTAAACTTTATGACCCATGCCCTTAATCCAAATGGACTCTATTACGTGCATCTCTTGGACACCCTTAAACCAATTATGTATGGTATCTTAAAACTCTTAAATCGTATTCACTGATTATTCAATTATGTACCTAAATTATACGGGCATCCACATAATATTTCATCGAAAAGGCACCCACCCCCTTTGAAAAACCAAGTTAACGCTCTCCATATATGACAATATGCGGACAAATAATCGGATCAAAATCAACTAATAGGTTGGTATTGAATATTGATTGATCTTGAGAGATGGTGACTTCAACAGAAATAGTGAAAAAGCTCAATTTGCAAGCTCATGTTGAAGGTGGATTCTTTCATGAAAATTTCAGAGATCATTCTGTTTCTGTCTCCAAATCCCAACTACCCCCACAGTGTAATTTCTTTCTCTATTTTTCCCCTTCAATAATCTGTTATTTGATGATCTTGTTATATTATATTGGAAATTATCTTCTGGGTATTTGATTATTACTTTTGTATTTGGTTTATATACTGTTTGATTGATAAAATAGTGGAGCAACAATTAATCAATTCATAAAACAATCAAATGATCATTTTGAATCTTTTTACAGCTCAAAGATCTATTGGGAATTAGTTTTGATTTTGGGCAGATAAGGAAATTACCCTGTAGTTTGATCAGAGAGTGAGAGTTGGGATTGATTTTCCCTTGATTAATGCTGAGAAAGCATTAGTTAAAACCCGATAACGATTAGTCGCACACACATGAACTGTATGTAAGAACAAGGCTACATGTTTATGAAACTATAAGGAGATTTTAAAAAACTAATAAAAAACACCCTGCATCAGCTTACTTAATTTGGTGATCTTAGAATTTTTCGCCAAATCAATTTTAGGCTGTAATTTTACTAGACAAATGACGGGTTTGATGTTATAAGTGGAACCAGTGTTTTATAAAATATGCACTGATACTTTTGAAATGCTGGTTTACTGCAGACAAGGTTGATCGCCCTGTAAGTACAGCAATCTATTTCTTGCTGCCTTCCGGTAGTGTGTCGAAACTCCACCGGATTCCATGTGCAGAAACCTGGCACTTCTATTTGGGAGAGCCCTTAACGGTAAAAGCTCATAATCTGTAAATTATGTGATAGTGTTAATTGATTTGCTGTGTGTTTTCTGTAACCCTACTGATTTCATGACTACTTTCTTCCAGCTGTTTGGTTTGAGTAATTCAGAAAAGTAGGGTGGGGGTTAAGTTGCAAGAATTATATGTTCGACATTGAATGTCATAACTCATAAGGCTGTGGCAAATCTAACATTAATTCTCTCTGTGGGCTCGTTGTCGTACAGGCTAACTGTAATCCCAGTCTAACGTGAACATTTGACATTGCAGATACTGGAGCTTAATGAGAAGGATGGAAGTATCAAGTTAACTTGTCTTGGTCCAGATTTGATGGATAATCAGCAACCCCAGTACACTGTGCCTCCTAATGTCTGGTTTGGTTCCTTCCCAACAAAGGATATCAGCGTTTCTCCAGATGGTGTGGCAACCAAAGCTGCCCCCAGGGACAATGAGAACCACTACTCCCTTGTCGGATGTACTTGTGCACCTGCTTTCCAGTTCCAGGACTTCGAGTTGGCAAAGCGAAGTGAGCTCATTTCGTATTTTCCGAAATATGAGTCTCTTATTTCTCTCCTTACTTCTGCTGACTGAATTTTCCCATTACTTGTTAGTGACCGGTTTTATAAGCTACTCCTACGAAGTTGCCCCCTGCCCTATATACTACCTTTAGATTTTGTATGTTGTCTTGTGTTGGAATTGGTTAATAAACCCTCTATCAGACATTTAGAGCTTGGTAGATTCATCAAGAATTCTCTTTTTGAGGAAATCTTCCTAATGTTTTCTTTTTTCCGACTTTATTAATAAAGCTTGGTTAACTTTTGCAAAAACTTGTATCTTTAGCATTCAAAGCATTCATAAAAGGCTTTGCTTAATTGAGTCACTGAAAATATGATTGAAACAGGAACATAAACTAATGAAAAGACAATTGCAAATTAAAAGCACAATCTACAGTATCTTTGTTGTTACAATAAACAGGTTAGTAGTGGAGCCATAACAAAAAACATGGCTATACATCAATAACCAAAAATTGTAACAGCATTGAGTTGTAATTGAGGTACAGGAAATAAAGCCGCACAATCACAATTCAGACAGTAATCAGTTATGAATCGAGCGACAAACATTGCACTAACCATATCCAGGTGCAACTGAGCACATAGTATCTGTAAACTGATCAATGTGATCATTCTTTTCTGATGAGTCCAAAATAACCTCAACGAAAAGAAAAAAAGAAGGGGTACAGGTCTAGAGGCCAAAGAAAGCTAAGAAGAAAAGGGAAAGGAGAGACAGGTTATGGGGTCGAGCATCCCATTTAATTACTCTACCTTTAAAGGATATCCGCTTTAATATTTGCGGAGGAAGGGGAAATTGACTTAAGAATGGTAGATAACAAAGTCTTAAGGAGGCATGGAGCTCAACGTTCAATCAAAATCTAAAAACTCCATCTGCTTTCTTATCATTCCTTTCAGATCACTAGCTTCTTTTTCTGCCTTTCGAGCCTACAAAACCAAACATAGATCAGCATCCACATTACACTACCAGTATTTTGAAAAAGGAAAGCATTTTGGAGTACTAGACAACTTCTTAACCAAAGGAGGGAAGAAGTGTAACAATATTTTTTTTTCTACCTGTTTAATTTCTGCTTCTGAGACGCATGTCATATGTGGCGGAAGCTCTTCCTCACCTACAGCCTAACCATCAACAGAAAAATATTAAGCCAACTCTATTATCTCCTTAGTCCTTAATATGTCTATGACAGGATTAAAATCTTGGGCAGTGAGACAACCCCAATCCTAAATAGACCATGTTATCCTACTGTTATCCTACTTGTTATCCTACTGGCATAGTCTTGAACACTGATGACTGATCAAAATCTTTATAACCTCAAAAAAATTAATTTAACAATAGATATAAAATTTACCAGTTCTCCAATCAATACTACATTCTCTCCCCTGACAATATACAAACCCAACGGGATGTCACAGTAAAGATCACCAACAATCACTCTATCACAGGCACTTTCAAGAACTACATTTGCTGCAGGAAGAAAGGGAGACGGTTAAGCAGAGAGGAGCAATGAAGAATGGACAACAAATAAACAATACTTTAGAAGTAGTACCAAACTGATCAAAGGACCTTAATATCCCTAGGAGCTTTCTACCATCCCTTAACAAAACAAGAAGCTTTCCTGCACAATATATACACGTTTAGCGAGTTAAAATTAAAACAAGGAATAATCTTAGTTAAATGCAGGTCAGATTGTGTATGAAACCAGAAGAGAAGTAAACTTATCAGATATACAGAGTACTTGAAACAGTATGGTCAGCCCAGGGAAGTGGGGAAGAGAGAGAGAGGGAGAGAGAGGGGGGGGGGGGATATTTTTGCAGCAAAGGCTTTTTAAAGAGAATTCGATAATAAGATATCTACTTCGCATAACATTGCATTATGTGCAGACAAATGACGTACACTGGATAAGAAACTCACTACTCTAACCTCAAGACAAGAGTCAAGACAGGCTTATTAATGTAGAAAGACAAGAAATTCAAACATGAAAAAAGTTCATAACTTCATACAAGTACAGCAACAATGGGATGGACGATAGATATACATTGCTAAGAATCCAGTATAGTTGCAAGATTAAATCACAGAATGCCATATCAACTAAAAGGAGGTATCATATACATTACAGGCATACAGACAAATGTTGTACACTGGATAGAAAACTATTCACTACCTCTAGCCTCAAGAGTCAAGACAGAGGCTTATTCATGCAGAAAGACAAGTAGTTCAAACAAGCAAAAGTTCATACTAGTACAACAGCAATGGGATGGATGATAGATATACATTGCTAAGATCCAAGATAGTTGCAAGATTCATTCACAAAACGCTATATTTACGGTGTGTTTGGAACTTTGGATAGAGAAAGGAGAAGAAAAAAGAAGGGGGGTGGAGGGGAAAGGGTGGGAAGGGAAGAATGATGAGTTTTCCATCCAAATCTCTCCATTGTTAAAGAGATCAATTTCTTACAATTTATTCCCTTCATTTCTTTCCCCTCTAATTCCCTTCCTCCCTCATTTGTTATCCAAATGAAAGATTACCCATCCCTACATTTGCTTCCCTTCCTTTCCCTCCATTTTCTTAAATCCTAACAAAGTATTAGAGTACAATCACATGCTCGCTTTTATATACATAATAACATGCTTGAGATCTAACATGCAACAAAGCAAAAACCAGCAACTCAGTTGACAGTCTTGACACAAAGTACCAGCGAAATGCTAAGAATCACACTTGACATAAATTCTAGGATCCCAAGTCCACAGCAATGAAGGTAGAGTATTTAGTATCAGACACTACAACACTCTTTTGTTCAAATTGAATGCAGCATACAAGAATAGTGATCTTCACAATCACCACGAATTCATGACCGCACAATAAAAAATTTCCATTTTCTATGAAAAATCCATAAAAATAAAGAATTCAATAGTAATCTAAATCAACAATACATCATGAATTCAAAAAAAAAAAAAAACCCAGAAATTCCCTTAAAATTGTTATCAATAAAACAGTAAAATTAGCACAATTGAGCCTCAAAGTAATCACAATTAACGCATCCCATCAAGCGAAACGACGTCAAAAAGAGTATAAATCAGGAAACAAATTAAAAAACACAGAATTCATAGTACAAGAAACAGAATCAAACAGAGAAAAAGAAAGAGGATCATTACTATCAAGATAAGTAGCAAGTGAAGTAGAAAGAAAAAGATCTTCAGGACCAGCCCAAGACATTGAATCGAATTTCAATTCTTCAATCTCTTGAAAATTCTAATAGAATTTAACAAATTTACACCAAGAAATTCTTAATTCAACCCAATTTTTCAATTGCACTGGGAAAAGGAATCCCCTTTTACTATCTCCAGTCAATTGAATTAATCTCCCAAACACCCAAAATTAAAAAACTAGGGTTAGGGTTTATCTGATGATTTTGGAAATTGGGTATTTTACAAATTGGGGTCTAACAACAATCGACTAAAATCTAGATTGGTTGTTAATGCAGGAACCCCTTTCGTGATGAGGAGTGTTTGACCCTTTATGTATTATTGACTCTTTGTAAAGAGCATTCACTGAGTGAAACGCTAAATATCGCCCGCAATTTACCATATAAAGCCCACAAATATGATATAGTTTGACCATTATGCTCATTTTCTAAAATTGAAATAATCTCGGTGTAAAAAATGTGGAGCCGTACTGGCTCGCCGGGGGAGACCGGAGGGCAGGCCGGAGATGCGGGGGACGCCGGAGGTACGTCGTCGTCGACGGAAAACGAGGTAAGTCACCGTTAAAATTCACGGTTTACCGTCGGAGTGGCTCCGGCGCCTAGGATGGACGCCCAAACCGTAGCCTGGACGTCCAAGCCAGACGCCAGAACCACCAGAGTGGCGTCCAGCCCAGACGCCCAGACCACCAGACTGGCGTCCTGGCCAGGCGCCACTCCACTGGGTGAGGCGGCCCTGCCAGGCGCCAGTCCAGTGGCTGTGGCAGCCCTGGCAGACGCCACCCTTATAAATTAATTTTTTTTTTCTTTTTTGATTTTGTTGTTGTTTTTTATTTAATTTTTTTAAAAAAAAAAAATCGAAAATGATTTTTTAAAAAAATTCGAAATGGGTTTTTTTAAATTAAATTTGAAAATTCGAAATAGGTTTTTTTAAAATTAAATTTGAAAATTCGAAATGGTATATTTTTAAATTTAGTTTGAAAATTCGAATTGGGTTTTTATAAAAATTAAGTTTGATTATATATAATTATGCTTTTTTTTGTGTTAATTCTGTGTAAATATAGAAATTAAATGTATTATCCGTTAAATGTATTTATTGTAATATATAATTGATGCAGGAATATGGTGGAGACGGAAATGATTACAGTGGGATATTTGGACATGATGGTCCATTCGAAGAAGCTCAACAGGCGATTGATTGGGCAAAACAGGTTGCAATTGCAGCTGGATTTTGTTTGGTAGTAGTAACTCATAAATCTCAACGGGATGGTAGAATGGATCGCATTTTGAGATGTGACCGTTATCGCAAAAGAGAAGAAAGAGATTTTCGTACAGCCACTCGGTTTGATACAAAGCGGAAAGGTTGTGGGTGTGAGTTCAGAGTAAAGGTTCGACAACTACGGAGTCGTGACGGTTGGGAAGTGATTGGTTACTTTAAATGGGGGTATCACAACCATGAGATGATAGTATATGAAGAGGGTCATCGTCAACTGAGCGGCTTAAGTCCTGCTGCGAAACTAGTTGTGAAAGAAATGAGTGATGCTCAAGTGAAGCCTGCTAAAATATTAGCATCTGTGTTAGAGAAATTTCCAGAAGACCATCCAAACCGAAGACACATCTACAACGTCAGACAGCAATTCAGGTTTGAACGGTCAGAGGGAAGGAGCCCTATACAGCAGCTGCTACACCAGGCACAATCACGTGGTTACCTGTTCTGGTTTGATTCTGATGAAGATACAGCGGAGGTGACTCATCTTTTCCTTGTGCATCCTGATTGTGCTGATATGATCAAGTCTTGGCCATTTGTGATTTTGATCGACTCAACGTACAAGACAAACAAGTACAAGTTCCCACTGGTTGAGATGGTTGGGATGGCTCCAACGAACCAGAACTTTCTGATTGGTCATGCAATCATCAAGGATGAGACGGCTCCAAGTTATTATTGGGTGTTGGAGAAGCTGAGAAACTACATCGGGCCTAATGTTCATCCAGCAGCCATCGTCAGCGACTGAAAGGGAGGTCTCTTTGCCCCCATAGCAGAGCTGTTTCCCGAATCGAACCACTTATTGTGCACATGGCACATCAACAACTGCGTGAAAGTGAAAGCCTACAACCTTTTCAAGAAGAATTTGGAAATGGCAGAGAGATTGGTGAATGGTAAGTGGCGGAAGATCCTACAGGCTACCACAGAGGAAGCGTATGAGCGAGCATTGGCTAACTTCAGGGATTCGTACCAGTGGTGTCCGGCACTGGTGGACTATGTGATGCATCAATGGGTCCCTCACAGGGAAAAGTTTGTCAAATATTGGACAAACCAGGTACTTCATTTTGGGAACATGATGAGTGACATTTATGTTACCCTTAGGGGTAGTGTATTGGTCTATTTTCTCCTGTTTTTCTTAGGTTTTCTACCTCTTTTCTCCTCTTATGGCTTCCTTTTCCCGTTTCAGCTGACTTTTTGCGGAGCTTCCTAAGCAATTTTATAAGGGGTATAAATAGATTTTTTTTTGCTCATTAAAAAAAGACAGATTTTTCAGTTTAGAATAGTTTTTAGGTTAGTTTTAGGTTTTTAGGGAGAGAAACTCTCAAATTTTGGAGAGAGAAAGTGAGGAGCACAATGGTTTTCATGGATTTTGGATAATCAAAAGAGGAATTTGATGATTTGAAGATCTCCACCTTATATCAATGAGCATTTCTTACTCTCTTCTCTCTTTATGCTTTATTAATTGCTTTGTTAATCATGTTTGAGTAGATTTCCTTCTACTAGGTGTTGAGTGAAGCTTTGTTATGGTTAATTGAGTTATTTGAGATAAATTTGATGATAATTGTGTGATTAAATTGATTGAATTGATGATGGCATGTTGTTTGTTTTAGATTGGATTGATCTCCCAAGATAGCAAACTTAATTGCATGTTAGTTATAGTTTGACAAGGGATTGTGAATTAGAATTTATATATTTGATTGCATTTTGGGTAAATTTCTTCTATGCACCTAGTCAATGAGGGATCTAGGCTAGGAATTTGAGAGATTGCTCTTGATGGTAATTAATTCCCATTTTAATTCTTTCTTTGCATGATTGATTATCAAATTGATTCCCATTAACTTGTTAATTGTTCAAAGTGGATCTTTTCCCCTAGTAGACTTTATCATACCTTGTTCTTTATATGTATTTTAGTGTAGTTGTAGTGTCCTTTATCCGTAAATCAACTTCGGCATAGCTTAAGCATTAGATTAAGAACAATCTAGCATTACCGTTCCTTGTGGTTCGACTCCGAACTTACCACTAGACTTGTTTAGGGGTTAGTTTTAGGATTTATAAATTTATTTGATTGAGTGTGGAATGTGCGACCGTTCTAACGCCCATCAAAATGGCGCCGTTGCCGGGGAACGGTGTCAATGCTTGATTGTTTTTGATTGCTTGAGTCTAGGTCTTTGTGTATACTTTTCTTTTTATTTTATTTTTTTTTTATTTTTGCTTGTTTTTGTAAAAAAAAATGGCAAGTAACTCGTTTCCTCAATATGACAATGAGCCTTTTTGTGAATATTTCAATAGACTTGAGGGATATTTGGATTTTGATTGTTGTAGTCTTAGGGAGGCTTGTGAGATTTGTTATTTTGGTTTGAATGAGCAAACTAGGGATGAAGTTGAATGCATGCATAATGGTGAATTTAGAGCATTATCAATTGATGATGCTTGGGATTTTTATGTTTGGTTTGCTTGGGATGTCTATAATAAGGGTAATCATGATTCTATTATTGATATGCAATGTGTTGATACTTCTAATATTAGCATGAATTCCCATGATTTGTTACATGATCCATTAAGTGAACCTAAAACACATGATTTCAACTCTATTTCCTCTTTTGTTCATGATGATGAGGTACATGCTCAAGTTGATGCTAATGGTGTGTTTCAATATTCTTCATTATTTACCATGCCTTCTTGTGATGTGCTTCGTTCCCTTAATGATGAATCTCATGTGTTTGATTGTGCCCCCACTCCCCAATGTGATGTATATGCTCATGATCTTAATGTTGATTTTTCCAATCTTGGTTGTACTTCTTCTTCTCTTGTTGAGCCTCAACCTTCAACACCTTTTGAATCCCTTATTGCTACTTTTGAATCTCAAATTAGGTGCATTGAGCTTGATAATGAGCTTGGGCCTAATAAGGAAATGATTCTTAATTCTATGAGAGGTCAATTAGAGATAATGAAAAAGAATGAGGAGCGTCTTGAGGAGGGAAGGAGAAGAAAAGAAGAGTTAGAAAGCCAATTGTCACCCTTGATGCTTGTTTGTGAAAAATCCCAATTTAATGTGTGTGTTGAGGATGATGATGATGATTTTGAGCAACCAAGAGAGTGTGAGGATCCCATTGGTGAGCATATGAGTGATGGTGAAGGAGTTGAGAATGAAGAGAGTGTTGATTTTGAAAATCCTAACCCTTTTTCCCATCTTGATGAGTCTCAAGTGCATGATTGTGATCCTTTTATCCATGAGTATTTGGATTCATTTAAGGTTATGTCTAATGTGTTTATTGAGTGTCAAATGAAAACCCATAGCCTTTTGAGTGAGTTCATTAAGAATGCTTCATGGGAGAGAGACCATTTTGAAATGAATTTGCATCCATTCATGCATGGCTTTGAGATTTTAGGCTTTAAGGAAGTTGAGGGAGTTATTGTTCATGATTGTAGTGAAGGGGATTATTTAGTTCCTCTTGGAAGTTGGATGTTTGAGGGAGATCATGATCATGAGTGTTCTTCTTTTGAGGATTCTATGATTGATTTTCATGCTCAAATTGGTGATTTGAGGAATGGTGGTGAAGAAGAGACCATTTGTAAGACCATTGCTCCTATCCCCTTCTCTCATGTCCCTTTTTCAAGGAATTTCAACCATATCCCCTACACTCCTATATCCCTTCCTTCCTTTGTTAATGAGCCTATTGGGGACCCCCTTGCCTATGAAGATTTTTATGTCCCTCATTCGTCTTCAATTGAGGAAAAGGGTGATTTTGCCACCCAAAAAGATTTTTGTGAAGAGAGTTTGCCTTTCTATTCTTCTTCTTATTTTCTTGAATTTTCTTTTGATTCTTCTTCTTCTTGGAAACTCCCTCTTCACCTTCTTTTGCGTGCACTAATCTTGGTGCATGCCTTCTTATATCATTTTCTTACTTGTTATCTTATGAGATGTGTAGTAGTGCATTTGACAAGCTCTTGCGATCGTTGCAATATTATTTACTAGAGCGGTCAAGCTTGGACCTTAAGCAAGCCTTTCTCGGGAAGTAACCCGTGTTTATTGCTTTCATTTT